CCCTGGTGTCATAGTGGTTAAGTGCTCAGCTGCTAAACAAAAGATTGGCAGTTCCAACCCACCAGCCGCTCTGTGGGAGAAAGAAGTGGCAGTCGGCTGTAGTCTTCATAAAGATTACAACCTTAGAAACCCTATGGGGCAGTTCTACTCTGTCCTACAGGGTCACTATGAGTCGGCATTAACTCAACAGCAATGGCTTACGGGCAAAATATTGAATGACACAGGAAGCATCAAAAGAAGATGGAAGGAATACACAAGTCACTGCACCAAAAAGAACTGGTCGACTTTCAACCATTTCAGGAGGTAGCATATGATCAAGAACTGATGGTATTGAAGGAAGAAGTTCAAGCAGCACTGAAGGCACTGGAGAAAAACAAGCCTCCAGGAGTTGACAGAATATCAACTGAGATGTTTCAACAAATGGATGCAACACTGGAAGTGCTCACTCGTCTGTGACAAGAAATTTGGAAGACAACTACCTGGCCAACTGAGTGAAAGAGATCCATATTTGTGCCCATTCCAAAGACAGGTGATCCAACAGAATGCAGAAATTATCAAGCAATATCATTAATATCACACGCAAGTAAAATTTTGCTGAAGATCATTCAAAAACGGTTGCAGCAGTGATTGATGGGGAACTGCCAGAAATTCTAGCCAGATTAGGAAGAGGACACGGAACGAGGGGTATCATTGCTGATGTCAGATGAATCTTGGCTGAAAGCAGAGACTACTAGAAAGATGTTTGTTGTTAGGTGCCGTCGAGTCAGTTCCAACTCATAGAGACCCTATGTACAACTGTATGGATCATAACAAAGTATGGATAGCATTGTAAACAATGGGAATTCCAGAACACTTAATTATGCTCATGCGGAACCTGTGCATAGACCAAGAGGCAGTTGTTCGAACAGAAGAAGGTGTTTTAAAATCAGGAAAGGTGTGCATCAGGGTTGTATCCTTTCACCATACTTATTCAATCTGTATGCTGAGCAAATAATTTGAGAAGCTGGACCATATGAAGAAGAACGTGGCATCAAAGACTCATTAACAACCTGCAATATGCAAACGACACAACCTTGCTTGCTGAAAGTGAAGAGGACTTGAAGCACTTACTGAAGAAGATCAAAGACCACAGCCTTCAGTATGGGTTACACCTCAACATAAAGAAAACAAAAATCCTCACAGCTGGAACAATAAGCAACATCATGATAAGTGGAGAAAATATTGAAGTTGTCAAGGATTTCATTTTACCTGGATCCACAATCAACACCCATGGAAGCAGCAGTCAAGAAATCAAAAGATGCATTGCACTGGCAAATCTGCTGCAAAAGACCTTTTTAAAGTGTTAAAAATCAAAGATGTCACTTTGAGGACTAAGGTGTGCCTGACCCAAGCCATGGTATTTTCAATTGCCTCGTATGCGTGCGAAAGCTGGGCAATGAATAAGGAAGACCAAAGAAGAATTGAAGTCTTTGAATTATGGTGTTGGAGAAGAATATTGGATATACCATGGACTTCCAGAAGAATGAACAAATCTGTCTCAGAAGTACAGCCAGAATGCTCCTTAGAAGCAAGGATGGCGAGACTTTGTTTCACGTACTTTGGTCATGTTATCAGGAGGGACCAGTTTCTGGAGAAGGACATCGTGCTTGGTAACATAAAGGGTGAGCCAAGAAGAGGAAGACCCTCAATGAGATGGATTGACACCGTGGGTGCTACAATAGGCTCAAACATAGCAATGATTGTGAGGATGGTACAGGACTGGGCAGTGTTTCATTCTGTTGTACATAGGGTCACTGTGGGTCGGAATTGACTCTACAGCACCTAACAACATGACTTGTGTATGTTCATATCCTATCAGGATGACATTATTGAGGACAATCTGCCATTCCCAAATTGTCCCCTGGTATAACTTCCAAAGTCAGAATATTGGGCTTGTCAGCCTATGGATCTGACCTCTAACGGAAATCCTTATATCAGGTTATGAGGAAATACTTTAAAAATAATAAACCATTTGCTGTTAAGTTGGAATTGACTCATGGCGACCCCATGTGTGTCAGAGTGGAATTGTGCTCCATAGGGTTTTTGATGGCTGATTTTTGGGAAGTAGATCACCAGGCCTTTCTTCTGAGGCACTTCTGGGTGTACGCAAACTTCCAACCTTTTCGTTAACCGTTTGCACCACCGAGGGACTCCGTTAAGTACGCTGGAACTTAGGAAATCCGGTGCTTTCCTGACTTGCCTGTGCTGGCTTCGGTGGCTTGGGCAAATCACTTCACCCATTTCTTTGTCTGTTGGAATGTAAGGAGGTTGATGGGCACAGCCAAGATTTCCCAGCAGATAACAATTGTAAATGGATAAGTTACATCTGTGGAAGACTAGATCTGCCTAAACATGAGTCACGTGAATTGGAAGGCTTGTTCATACTAGTTTTCCTTTGTCATGAAAACTTTATAATATCCAGTTTAGTGTTGTAACCTTGGTGAAACTGAACTTGAACAACTCAAAATAATATGTTTAATTGCATCCAGATATGGTGCAATTACTAATTGATCAAAACACATTGACAGAATGCCAGGTGGCCACCAGCTACACCGTGGGGAGGATAGTCTGGGGGTTAGGACTCTGACTTATGGCGACCTCATGTGTGTCAGAGGAGAACTGTGCTCCATAGGGTTTTCAGTGGCTGATTTTCAGAAGCAGATGGCCAGGCCTTTCTTCCAGGCACCTCTGGGTGAACTCGAAGCTCCAGTCTTTCAGTTAGCAGTCAGTGAGTGCATTAACCATTTGCATGGCTCAGGGACTCCAAACTAGGCATATAGTTAGGGCTCAAAAGAGCAGGACATCTTTTTGCATTTTTAAAATCTAACTTAGGATTTTACATTTTCAGTTCCTGAAATTACAAAGCATCTCACATAGGATGGGAATATGGTATTCACTGGTGGTGCAACAGTTAAGTGCTCAGCTGCTAACCAAAAGGTTGGTGGTTTAAACACACCCAGCGACTCTGCAGGAGAAAGACCTGGTGATCTGCTTCCATGAAGACTATGGTCAAGAAAACCTTATGGGGCAGTTCTACTCTTTCACCCAACAACAGGCACCCAACAACAACAGCAATAGTTATAGGTAGGGGGTCAGAGAGTATTTGGATTCCCCATGGCTGTCTTGAACAATGTATGTCTTGCCCCAAACCCCCATCTATGGCTGCAGAAGCTTCTGTTGTTTCAGTTGCTGCCCTCCTACTTTTGCTCAGAGCCATTGTGGGATGCTGCCTATTTTCCCTGTAATGGTTCCTTGGACCCCTGGAGCTGTGTAAATTGCTGTATGTATATTCAATTCGTCCATAATTCAGGTCCAAAAAATTATATATAGCTACTGACCAAGGTCTTAATGATCTGATTGGTATGTATAAACTGACTTTGATTCCCTGCATAACTGCTAAGCCATCTGTTTCATTTGGTCTTGGGAGCTTTAGGGTAAAGATAGAGAATAAACTGTAAATAATATTAAAAAGGATAGCTTGGGAAGGAATAGTATGTCCTCAGGGACCAAAATGCAAGGCAACATAAAGGAATTTCTTTGTGATATAAAGTATAACACTTGTAGGATGGTAATGATAAATGAAGTCCAGTCCAATGTCCCCGTTCAACTTTCCCACATCTTGTATAACAAAAAATGTTCTAAGACTGAGGACTTTAGAGAATTTTGAGTTGTTTCCAGAGTAGATTGAGAATAAAATTATTCCTATAATTCGGTATCAAAGTTTTACCAGAAATTTTGCTTGACAGTAAATCATCCTAGATTGAGTGAAGAAGGGTAGGAATTGAGAGCATGGTGAGTTGTATAGATGACTGTGTGCTGGAAACCCAACTTCTGTTTAACTCCTTCCCACTCATATATCTTAGAAAGAAGACTAGAGTGTGCCGAATACATTCTATAGGGCAATGATTAGAACATTAGCTTTGGAGGTAAACACATCTGAGTTGATGCCCTTGTTCTTCCAGTTATTAGCTATGTGATCTAGGGAACATTACTTATCTAATCTGTGCTTCAGTTTCCTCATTTGTGAAGAGGAAACAATAACTACCCCCCAAGGTTGTTGTGAATATCGATTGAGCAGTAGTTCCTGATATTCATGGTGACCCATGCGTGTCAGAGTAGAACTGTGCTCCACAGAGTTTTCATGGCTGTGACATTTTGGAAGCAGATCACCAGACCTGTCTTCCAAGGCAGCTCTGGGTGGGTTTGAGCCACCAACCTTTTGGCTAGTAGTTGAGCACTTAACCATTTGCGCCACCCAGGGACACCAAGGAATCAACTCAACAGCAACTGGAACCAGAGTTCCTGAGATGTTGTGGTGCTCAGTAATGACAGAAATCCTTTTCCATTTTCATTGCCACTATTCATCTCTTGTCTGGTCCACTGCTGTCCCTTCTACACACCGTTTCCATCACGTCACACCTCTATTTGGTTTCCTTTGCTGGTAGAAAATCACCACAGCTGCCAAATGGCCATATTCTGGGAAACCTTCATTTGGGATCATAATTTAAGATCAGCATCTCTGGGCTAAGTCATGGCACCTAGGAGCTTCCTGTGAAGTCTCATTTCTCATGGTTCCTATTGTCTTCACCATTAAGTCCACTCTGAATTCTATTCTGTTCTCTCTTTAGAACATCTATCCCCGAATCCTTGACCAACTCACCCATATCACAGCACTAAGACTACACGTTCCAGGGCCCCACAGTGTGAATCTTCTCTGAGAATTCACTTGTAGTTCTGGGGACAGGACTCTGGGGGAAGAGCTAGGCAATGGGCCAGAAAGAGAGAGTGACCAAGAGTGGCCTCATCACCCTTAACCTAAGCCTTGACCTTCAGCAAAGGAGAGGCCTAAACAACTCAGGAAATATTAGATGTTCCACCAGATGTTTTTTGGACTGTATTTTGTGTTCTATCAGTTCAAGCTGCACCACTCTGACTTCGATTTTATTTTTTTGTTGTTATAGGATGATGCTGCGGCCAGATGGTCTTCCTTTTATGAAGCGCAGTCCACGCTTGCCAAAAATTTTCCTCTAGAAGAAATTTCAAGTTCTGTAATCAAGCTTCAGTTGCAGGCGCTTCAGCAGAGTGGATCATCGGTGCTATCACTAGGCAAGAGCAAACGGGTATGTTTGTGAATATTTTACCGCTGAGTTCAAGAGTTGAAATATTTGGGAAATACCAAGTGCTCCTATCCCTCATGGCTACTCCCTTTATCTGCATGGATAGTAATGCTGACTTTCAACAAGAATCCTGTGTCTAGGTAGGGTGGCCATATAATTTATCATCCAAACTGGGATCCCTCCTTTTTTAAATTGTTGTAAAAATATAGATAACACACTTGCCAAGTCAACATTTTTCATGTGTACATTTCAGTGAGATCAATTGTACCAATCATGTTGTACAACCATCACCAATATCCATTGTCAAATTTCCCATCACCATAAACAGAAACTCGATGTCCTTCTTCCCGCTTCTGGTCATCACTATTAAACTCTGATCTCTAAACATTTGCCTATTGTAGGTATTTTATATTAGTGAGATCATACAATTTATTTGTCAAACTGGGACTCTTTCGAGAGTGAAAGGAGAAGCTGCCTGGTCTTCAGGAATATGACCTGCGTAGGGTGTCCATACACACCAGATGACCTGGGACAATCTCAGTTGAACTCAGTGTCAGTGGTTCTGGGGACATTTGGCAAATTTTGATTGTCACAACTGGCATCTACTGGGTAGGGATGTTGCCAAACATCCTACAGTGCACAGAAAGCCTCCCAACACAAAGAATTGTCTCATTCAAAATGTCAATTGTGCCAAGCTTGAGAACCCTTGTATATTGTTTAATCCTTCTCCCCCTTTGATTCTTGACTCTCCCCTGCAACTTCTTTACCAAGTGGCTAACAGCCTCAGCTCAGGGATGAGCAGTTCACCTCTTCCCAGGACAGCAGCTCCATGTGTGGATCCCTTTAAGAAATCGACAGATCCTCACTACCGAGTGTAAAGTAACTCACCTCTTGGTTCTGCCTTCTGGAGCTAGTTGACAACAGGGAAAGGGAACAACGGAGATATTCCTCCCTACGTACAAGAAGAAATGGGAGCATAAACAAAATCACACGGCCAAAAAGGACATCTTACATTAGCATTCTCTTCAGCATATTTCCTATTTTTACATTGCTTACTATCTTTAATTTGCAGTTGGGCACAATTCTAAATGCAATGAGCACCATCTACAGTACTGGAAAAGCCTGTAATCCAAACAGTCCACAGGAGTGTTTATTACTTGAACCAGGTAGGTTATTCGTTTTGAGTTTTTGTTGTTGTTATGAGCTGCCCTCGAGTTAGCCCCTGACTCATGGCAACCCCATGCACTACAAAACGAAACGCGGCCAGGTCCTGCACCATCCCCATGATCAGCTGCGATTGGACCATTGTGATCCATAGCGTTTTCACTGGCTGATTTCAGAAGTAGATTACTAGGCCTATTCTTCCTAGTCCGTCATAGTCTGGAAGCTCTGCTGAAGCCTGTTCAGCATCATAGCAACATGCAAGCTTCCACTGATAGACAGGTGGTGGCTGCGCATGAGGTGAGCTGGCTGGGAATTGAACCTGGGTCTGTAGCATGGAAGATGAGAATTGACCACGGAAGCACCACTGCCGCTGTTATTCATTTTGAGTCGTGACTATGAAATTTACTTTTTTCTCCAAAGTTCTAAAAGTTCTCTCATGGATAATCCAAAGGTGATAAGATTTCAAATACATGTGTTTCAGCACGTAGATGCTCTTTTAACTTCTAACAAAATCTCATTGTAAATTTTGTCACATTCAAGCAATTTCATTAAGTTAATAATTAAATTATTTCAAATGGTGTATATCCTCTGCAGGCATATTTTGGAACTATAATAAGAGTGAAGAAATGAACAAACAATGAGATTTTTAGAAGAACTTTCTGACCTTGCTATCTGCCAGTCTTACCTTTAACTTTTTCGAGTTTATGTGATGGTTTACAAATAAAAATTCCACAAATGCATGTTTATTGAAATGGTGTTTATGGGTGCTTTACGATAACAGGCTTGGATCAAATCATGGAAAACAGCACAGACTACGACCAGAGGCTCTGGGCTTGGGAAGGTTGGAGGTCTGAGGTCGGCAGGCAGCTGAGGCCATTATATGAAGAGTATGTGGACCTGAAAAATGAGATGGCAAGAGGGAACGGTAAGTTTGCTGGTCTGCAGAGGCCCTGACAGGTCCTTTGGTGGCATAAATGGTTTATGCTCGGCTACTAATCAAAAGGTTGGCGATTTGAACCCACCAAGTGACACCATGGAAGAAAGGCTTGATGATCTGCTTCTGTAAAGATTACAGCCAAGAAAACCCTATGGAGTGGTTCTATTTTGTAACACATGGAGTCTCTGTGAGCTGGAATCCACTCAACAGCAATGAGTTTGTTTGTTTTGTTGTCGTTGTTGCTTTGTTTTATTTTTAGAGGTCCTGAAGCTCTCAATGAGTCACAGGGCTAGTTCTCATGAATGCTCAAACCTGCCCTTTGACATCAGGGCTACCCCTAAACTGAAGATCGTCTGCTGAGCAATTCGGGGTACCCGTTTCAAGAAGAACCAAAAAAAAAAAAAAAAAAAAGCCAAACCAAACCAAACCAAACCCATTGCCACAAAGTAGCTTCCAACTCACAGGACAGAGTAGAACTCTATAGGACAGAGTAGAACTGCCCCATAGTGTTTCCAGGGAGCAGCTGGTGGATTTGAACTGCTGACCTTTTGGTTAGCAGCCAACTCTTAATCACTGTACCACCAGGGCTCTGTCTCAAGAAGAAGCCACTGGGAGATGGCAAAAGGTGCCTTGGCATTCTATAGGTTAAAGAGCTCAGCAGTGAAAGTCTTCTATAGGGCCTCAAATAAGCAGTTATCTAGGAAGGTCTCAGGCCTCCAAGGTTTCCCCAGGGAGTCTGGAGACTGAATGGGGATTTCACCTTTCAGAAATGATGAGAGAGAGGAACCCTGCCCCTCGCCTAATCCCCCACCTGGCCACACTTCACTCTCAAAGGTCATTTGGGTGTCTACCTCAGGGTATTTTCCCAGAAAGACAAAAATCAGATTCGTTTAGGCTGCAAACCCATTCTTTTCTCCAGTTGTGATTGTAACTCAAGGAGCCCTGTGGCACAGCGGTTAAGTACTCGGCTGCTAACCGCAAGGTTGGCCGTTTGAACCCATCCAGTGGCTCCACGGGAGAAAGACCTGACAATCTGCTTCCTTAAAAATTACAGCCAAGAAGACCGTATGGGGCGGTTCTACTCTGTCACATGGGGTCGCTCTGAGTGGAAAATTAACTCGATGGCACCTAACAACAGCACAACAAATTACAACTTAAAGCATGTGGTCATCAAAATCTTAACATGGGGAGGCATTTCCATATCCCTTAATTTATGCTCCTGCCTGAATAATGAGCTGAAGTCACCGCATCATAACCAACTTCACACTTTTGGTGATCCACGGCCTCCTGGGGCTGAGTAAGGAAGAATTTTTTCGTCTGTTCTTTCTAAATGTCTTCCACCATCACTTAACCCCGTATTCTCAAGCTATAGGCAAGCTGGAGACAGTAGCTGGTCAACAATGAAAACAAACAAACAAAAAATATCCTGCCTATCCTTCCATCCAAATATTTATTTCTCTCCTCATTTGCCTGATCATTCATTGTCAATGTGCCTGTAAAAGTAAAAATTACTAAAATGCGTTTGCCAACTTGATTAGCTGATACCCTAATACAAGCTCACGTTTCCTGATGAAGAGATACTAAAGGAAGCACATCAAGATGCACTGTGCATGCATATGATTTGCACATAATTTCCAAAACAAAACAGGCCCATAGTGACAAGGTCTAGGATGACCTTATGAAAATATAAGGCCCTGAGCAAAATTAGAATGAAATGATTTAGAGATCCAATCATGTGTTTTCAAGTTGAAGATGCAAACTGACCTATGGAGAGGGTCAAGACCCAGGATTAACAGGCTAGGAGTGCGCCTCTGCCCCTTACCAGCTGTGTAACCTCTCTAAGAGCAGGCTGCTAATCTGCATAGTAAAACCAAAAATCGAAACTCATTGTTGCCAAGTCAATTCAGACTCATGGCGACCCCATGTAATAGAGTAGAACTGAGTTCTTTAGGGTTTTCTTGGCTGTAATCTTTATGGAAGCAGATCGCCAGGCCTCTCTTCCATGGTGCTGCTGGGTGGGTTTGAACTGCCAATCTTTCGATTAGTATTCTAGCACAAACACAGGGACCAATCTGCATAGAGGGGGTTATAATAATGATACTTTTGTGGGGTTTTGTGCTTATTAAATGAGATGTTGTTGTTGTTGGGTGCTGTTGAATAGATTTTCAACTCATAGTAGAATTCAGAGTAGAACTGCCCCATAAGGTTTTCTAGGCTGTAAACTTGATGGGAGCAGATCTCCAGGTCTTTCTCCCACAGAGCTGCTGAATGGGTTCAACTCACCAACCTTTCCGTTAGCAGCTGAGTGCTGAACTGTTGTGCCATCAGGGTTCCTTTAACAGATATTAGCCAGTGTTATTATTCACTTGCTCCCTCTGAGTTGATGTTTAGAAGGGTGATAAAAATGTGATAAACCTTCGGATTTCTTCTAACTTCCCAATAAGGCTAATTTATGTACATTGTGCTTTCTCTCTTTCTTTCCTTTATGTTCCCCTCTTCCTCCCCCCACCCCCACGCTTTTCTTTTTAACAGGTTATGAGGACTATGGGGATTACTGGAGAGGAGATTATGAAGCAGATGACTATCACCGCAGCCAGTTGGTTGAAGATGTGGAACGCACATTTGCGCAGGTAACCTAGGCACTGCACGCAGAGACAGATGTGGGGGCACTGCATGGGAAGATGAGTGGCTGAAGGGATTCCAGCTTGTTCTTGACACGCTGGTCTGCCATTCCCTGGCCCTGTAGAGTCATGGACTATTAGAGCTTGAAGAGATTTTAGAGAGCAATAGGGCAACTCTCGCAGACGATCAGCTTCTTTCACAGTTGTCTTTCTACTTCTGCTGGCCTTCTCTTTCCAGCCACTGACCAGCAATTAGCCATAGAAAGATTATCGGAAGGAATGGTCTTTGTGAGCTACTTGGGGTTGGTACTGACTTCCTTCAGTGGCAGAACCATAGGCTTTGCTTCCTTTTCTCAGGACTATTGACACCATTATTTCCTTAGCCTTTTGTCTAAGGAAGCCTTCATGGGGTAGGGAAAGTCCTATGAGCAGAAGTGTCCCATTGGCACTTCCCAGTGTCCTTCTCTTCCTTCATTTTCACCCCCATGTCTCCCCTTTGTCCCTGCCCCTTCAGGCTTCTTATGTGATTGCTGGCTTCTCTCTCACAGCCATAGTTGGGTAGAGCTATCAAAAATGGAAGCAGAGCAAAAAATCCTCCAAAAAACAGAAATGGGTAAAAGATTTGAATAAATACTTCATCAAAGAAATTAAACAAATGGCAAATAAACAAGAAAAAAGTTATTGGAGAAATGCAAATTAAAATCATGATGAGAATCCCCTACACACCCACCAGAATGGCTATGATCAACAAGCCTGACAATACCAAGTGTTGACAAAGGTATGAAGAAACTGGGGCCCTCATACAAGGCTGGTAGATATGTAAAATAATATAGCCACTTGGGAAAATAATTTGACAGTTTCTTAAAAAAGTTAAACACACACTTACCATATGACCCAGCTATTCCACTCCTAGGTGTCTACACAAGAGAAATGAAAACATATATCCACACAAAGATTTATCCATGAATGTTCATAGCAACATTATTCATAATAGCCAAAAAGTGGAAATAACTCAACTGTCCTTCAACTGGTGAATGGATAAACAAACTACGACATATCCACACAAGGGAATACTATCCACTAATAAAAAAGAATGAACTGTTGATATATGCAACAACATGGATGAACGTCCAAAAACATTATGCTAAGTGAAAGAAGCAAAACACAAAAGACCACATATTGTATTATTCCATTTATATGAAATGTCCAGAATAGGTAAAACTATAGAGACAGAAATGAGTTCAGTGATTACCTGGGGCTGGGAATGAGAGTGTAATTAACTGCGAAAGGGTACAAAAAACTTTTGGGGGTGTTGGTGATGGTGGTATGGTTCAACAACTGTATATAAATTTACTAAAACTCAGGAAGTTGTACACTTAAAAAGGATGAATTTTCTGGAATGTAAAGTATACCTCAATTTTTTTCATCCTTCATTAAGTTTTTCAAAAATTTCATTTTTTTGTTGTTGTTGAGAATATACACAGCAGAACATATACCAATTCAATAGTTTCTACAAGTACAATTCAGTGACATTGATTACGTTCTTCAAGTTGTACAACCATTCTCATCAGCCTTTTCCAAGCTGTTCCCCCCCATTAACATAAACTCACTGCCCCCTAAGTTTCCTATCTAATCTTTCGAGTTGCTATTGTCATTTTGATCCCATTATACCTCAATTTTTTAAACAGAAGTAGATAGCACCTTAAAATGAATTTTTTTGTTTTTTGTTTTTTTGCATCTGCTTTCATTTTGGGACCTTGTGTTCCTCTAGGTGTCTTTCTTGCTTCATGCAGTGGAGCTAGTCATCTTTAATACCTGAGAAGAAGGAATGCTTTTGAACTCTTCAGCATATTTGAGAGAAGAAGAAAACTTTTCCTCATTCTTTAGGGAAATTCTAATTGTTTAAGGGAGCTCCTATATCTAGTGTTGGGGATTTGGGATTGGAAATTGGAATCTGCATGTTTGGTCTTAAACTTTCTTTCTGGACTTTTCAGATTAAACCATTATATGAACATCTGCATGCCTATGTGAGGAGAAAGTTGATGGATACCTACCCTCACCGAATCAATCAGACTGGATGCCTCCCTGCCCATTTGCTTGGTAAGAAACACCGGAAATTCTTTGAGTACTTAGCTCTAAAGAAAACATTTAGAAAAGTCTATGACTGAAGAAAAGTTAGTAACATCATAGAAATCACATTTTGAAAGTGCTTTATTCAACAGAAAGGCCATTTTAAATCGTCCTCTATTGCATTATGTTATTTTATACATAAAAAGTTATTATGTTGGCCACAATCTGAAGGATAAGGGGATTATTTAAGATAACGGAAGAAATAATTCCAAGTTCAAATGAGAGTGGAAATGGGGAAAAATCGTTTTTACTACTCAAGTTGGTTGGCTAAGCTCCCAAGATGGAATTTGGGATTTCAGTATGGTATTGTTAGCAGAAAGAAACATAGTAGGCAGGAAGTGGTCAGGGGCGAGAGCAAGGCTTTCCAGAACTAAGGTGTAGCTGGAGTGAAAGCTTGGGAAGTTCATTTTAGACTGCACTAATCACTCTTGCTGAAGAGTACTTGTCTTGGAATCATTTGAGTAATGAATGAAGTCTTCTTCAACGTGAAGGAAGAAGCCTAGCTTAGGAGGAGAATCAGTAATCAAGAACTTTGAGTCCTGCCACTGAGCCTTTGTAGACCACCCAAGATCTGGGGCTCTTTATCAAGCCCTCCTCCTTCTCCATCCAGGGAGTGGTTGTCCCCTACCCTACCCCAGCAGATGAGGCCGAATAACGTATCCCGTACCTGTTGCCTTAGAGTCGATTCCTACTCGTAGTGACCCTATAGGACAGAGTAGAACTGCCCCATAGGGTTTCCAAGGAGCAGCTAGTGGATTTGAACTGCCAACATTTTGGCTAGCAGCCAAACATATCAGTGTTCAGAAATTCCATGTCGCGCATACAATAGCATTCTTATTGCAGTCGAGTTAAGTTGCTTGCAGCTAATTCTCCTCCACAGCCAAATGTCATGTCTGTGAGCAAGAGAGAATATAGATGAAGGACCTATGGAGTCTTTCTACTCTAAAGTAACTAGAAAATCCTCTGTACAGGTTATGTTCAATAATTTAGCTTCTGCTTAAACATGTCTGGTGTGATAGGGCTCTTCCTTCTAAGGTAGACCAATCAATTGTTAGATGGCACCAATTATAAGATAGTTCTACCTTATGTGGAACTGAATTAACACTCCTCTAAAGCCTTCAATTCATTACTCCTAATTCTGGTTACCCAGAATATGTCAATTCTTCTCCAAGATGAACTTCCAGATATTTGGAGATAAACTTCACATGAAACTCGGCATACTACCTGGCAGAGGACTATGTGCTCAATACATTTTAGTGACTGTTATTATTATTATCATGTATACACTCTTTTCTTTTTTTCAAGTTAAATATCCCACACAGAGTTTCAGCCATTCCTCAAAATCCCATTTTCCCCAATTGTTCTTCTTTGGATGAGCTATACTTTGTCAGTGTTCCTTTTCAAATGTTCAAATACCATGCCCACACTGAACAGTTACTCTAGATGACTTTTGACCAACATAGAGAAAAACGGTACCATGACTGCTTTTTTTCTAGACAATGTAAGTCTGTTGATTTAGCCTAAGGTCACGTTTGATTTTAGGAGCCATGTCATATTGTTTAATGGCTCACATTTTTGTCTTTTACGTATGGACTGTGTTTCAGCCAAAGGTCACATATCATATACTTCTATGATGGATAGGTTTTTCTTTAAGATTTAAGCATCAGACTTCACATTTATCTTTACTAAATTTTATCTTTTAAAACATGAGTTTTTCAAATTACACAGTTAAGTGTATTACTATGTTAGTTGCCATGGAGTCAATACCGACTCTTGGTGACCCTATGTGTGCAGAGTAGAACTGCTCCATAGGGTTTTCAAGGCTGTAACCTTTCAGAAGCAGGTTGCTAGGTCTGTCTTCTGAGGTGTATCTGGGTGGGTTGGAACTGCCAAACTTTCAGCTAGTAGTCGAGCATTTTAACCATTTGCACCACCCAGGGATACCTATAGTAACAAAAGTGAACCTTAGTTACTAGTTAGTAGAAGTTCCTGAATGACGAGCCTATACAATCTCTTGAATCAATACCAGGCATTGTTAATAGTTAGTTTAATTTGTAGTATTTTGTGGATGGTGGCTTGTATACATCCCTTTCTAATCTATGGTACCTTTGATGTCCCATCTATTTAATAAATTGGACCTTTGAATCATAGTTTGGGATGGGAGAAACTGGGGTGGTTTACTAACAAGCTTTGCCTAACCACATAATCTCCTGCCATTTAAACTTTCTAGAAGAGATAGAAGAAGAAACAAGGGTTGAAAATGTAAAATAAGAGAAGGAAAAAAGGGAAAAAGAGATAGTGAAAGGGAAAGGCAGAAAGTGGATTAAATCTAGAATATTGTATGGCCTGCTCACCAAAACCAACCTCATGCACTATGTGAAATTGAGTCTGTATTTCTGCTGTCTTTGTTATATGTTAACTGAAAAAATTTTTTTTTTAACTAGGTGATATGTGGGGTAGATTTTGGACAAATCTTTACCCTTTGACAGTCCCCTTTGGAAACAAACCAAACATAGATGTTACTGAGGCAATGGTGAAACAGGTAGGAAGAAGAGGGCTTACAAACAAAAAAATCTAAACTCTCAGCTTCATTTCTTTTTATGTTGGTCTTCTGTTCTTATCTTTTGTATATGAAACTATATAAATGAAAACATTTCAAGCTCATTTACATTTATTTTTCTCATGTAGCTGTCTTTTCATGGAAAAGTAGTTTATAATGTCAGTGACCGCAAGTACCTTGAATAACATGTATGGTGTTGATCTTTCTGAAAGGCATTCAAAATGGATATGCCCTGAAGTTTCCAGTAAGCAGGAAGATGTGGAATTAGCAATTAATTGGCATCACTCTTTCTAAAGTTAGTCACTGTGAGGTAATCAGTTACTCTCTTAGTTATCTAGTGCTGCTGTAACAGAAATACCACAAGTGGATGGCTTTAACAAACAGAAGTTTATTCTCTCACAGTCTAGGAGGCTAGAAGTCCAAATTCAGGGCACCAGCTCCAGGGGAAGGTTTTCTCTCTCTGTTGATTCTGGGGGAAGGTCCTTGTCATCTATCTTCCCTGATCTACGAGCTTCTCAGCTCAGGGACCCCGGAGTCCAAAGGACACGCTGCCCTCCTGGCGCTTCTCTCTTGGTGGTATGAGATCCCTCTCCTCTCTGCTCAGTTTTCTCTTTTATATCTCAAAAGAGATTGACTCAAGATACAGCCTAATCCTGTAGATTGAGTCCTACCTCATTAACATAACTGCCTCTAATCCTGCTCCATTAGCATCATAGAGGTTAGGATTTACAAGTAGGATAATCACATCAGATCACAAAATGGTAGCCAACCACACAGTACTGGCTATCATGGCCTAGCCAAGTTGATACACATTTTAAGGGGACACAATTCAAACCATAGCAATCACTAATCTCTATAAGCAGTAAAATAAACAAGGAGAGCATTAGAAGATTTTTGTACATTGTTTTAAAAATCATTCTTGTTAAAAATATTGTGAGTCTTTAAAATAATTTTAAAATCACCTTTATTTTACCATTTTGGTATAATTGTTTAACTTTTCTGTGTCCCCTACCATTGATGGAATCATACTGCAGTTATAATTACATATTTTTTTCTTTATTCAGCTAAAATTCTACCTTTCTGAGTAGACTTCCTAATCGTCCTTTTATTGGCTATATACAATTTCTTCAGGTGGTTGTACCATAATTTGCTTAACTGTTTGTGCATTGCCAGACCTTTGCTTGTTAAAGGTTTAAAATCTGTAAGTAACATTGCAAAGAACATCTCTGAATACATAATATACTCTTGGAAAATGTCCACTGTAGAATAAAAACATGCAGCTGCATGGGCCTCCAAACTCTTGTTTTACAGATTGAGGCCAGTTTTCCTCAATGAGGGGTGACGTAGGCATGTGGCTGTCCTAGCCCCATCTCAGTGGAGCAGCAGTAGGGGCCTATCTTTATGTAGCTCCCTAGACAATCTAAAGTGTTTTCACGCCCACCATCTCTCCTAATGTTACCCTTACAACAAACCTATGAAACTGTCAGAATAGGCATTGTGACAGTTCCATGCTGTAGATGAAGAAACGGAGGCCCAGGTAAATTGATTTGCCCAAAGTCACAAAAAGAGTCAGGGACAACTAAGGTTTGAACTTAGAACTCCTAATATTTCCGGTCTGGTTTTCTCTTCATTCATTCTTTCTTCAGTCAATAGATTTTTTTTAGCATTGTTGATCACAATTTGCTTTTGGTATTGATAGTTTATTAGAGTGTTTTTTAACTTCTCAACTCATTGGTATTTTCATGTAAAGTTTTAGAATTTTAAAAAATAATTTATTTATTTTTTTGTTGTTGTTGTTGTAAAAATATACACAGCAAATCGTACACCAAGTCAATAATTTCTGCATGTACAATTGAATGACATTGATTACATTCTTCAAGTCGTGCAACCATTCTCACCCTCCTTTTCCAAATTATTCTTCCACCATTAACATATACTCACTGCCCCTAAGCTTCCTATCTAACCTTTTGAGTTGCTATTGTCAATCTGATTCCATGTATAGATAGTTTTTTAAAAGAACACAATACTCAATGCATACATTCTTTACTAATTAAGGTAAACTATTGTTTGGTTTAAAGAAGACTTCAGGGGATATTTTTGGCTTAAGGTTTGAAAATTGTCTCAGGGCAATAGTTTTGGGGGTTCATCTGGCCTCAATCACGCCAGAAAGTCTGGATTTTATGAGAATTTGAATTTTTGTTCTGCATTTTTCCCCTTTTGATGAGGATTCTGCTATAGAATCTTTGATCAAAATACATTCAACAGCTGTTAACTGTGCTTACTAGTCTACACTATTTTGGTATACATACATTCTGCTTAAGAATGCCGTACTCATCAATAACAATATTGCCTGACAGTAAGCCTTTAAAGGCCAATGGTAAACAAACAGACAAAACAACCCCATAGTTTCATGTCCTGTTTCTTATCCTCAGGGCTGTCATAGCAGAAAAACAAGACTTGACTCATCTTTGAGATCAGAGGAAGTTTTCTGTGTCAGTAAAAGTGATTAATGAGGTGTCTGTCGATGACACAAACTTAGCTTGCTCAATGTAAGTCTTATCTCCTAAGCAGGCTTAGTCAGCTCCTGGGATACTAGCTCCCAGCAGAGTTTGCTGGGTGGCGGATGCCTACTGCTGCCTCTCCCTAACTCCAGAACATTCTAAAAATTTAGACTCCCATACATACTATGAAGCCAAGGCCCAACTTCCCATTGGCTGCTGGACCATATATGGGTTTTTTTTATTCCAAAAACCGATGCATCTATGTCTGCCTCATTGCTTGTGTCTTCCACCAAGGCCTTGCCTGAGAAAGAGCTCAAGCAATGACAGTTGAGTTGAGTAGTCTTTAGTTTTCTTTTTTAAACTAATGTTGATATTTTAATGGTTATAATAAATATGTCATTGTTGTTTATGTTTATACTTGGAATATAAACTATAAAGACAAAAACACATGCATAATCTCATCTATCTTCTGTTCACATTTTCCATGCATTTCCTCATTAAGATTATACTACATGAGCAGTTTATAAATTCTACTTCTTCTCATACTATTAAATTGTAAATATTTTATGACATCAATAGCAATTTTTTATAAATAAAATTTGAATGGCTGTATAATTTTCCACTCTATAAAGGTATCATTATTTATTGAATCATTTTGATGGTTGTTTCTACTTTTTTCTCTATAAAAAATAACCATTTAAAATAGAATTCTTTGACTTAATTTTCTACTGTTTCTTAGATTAGATCCAGGAAGTTTATGCCAATGTACACATCCAACAGAAAGAATGCTGCTGTTTTAATGCTGGAATTAAATCCTGTTCCTTTTTCCAGGGCTGGAATGCAACCAGGATATTCAAAGAGGCTGAGAATTTCTTTATGTCTATTGACCTCCCTTCTATGACTCAAGGATTCTGGGAAAACTCCATGCTAACTGAGCCAGGCGATGGCCGGAAAGTGGTCTGCCACCCCACAGCCTGGGACCTGGGGAAGGGTGACTTCAGGTAGTGTGGCCCCTCTTCACAGGCTGATACTAAAATGTGGGACAATGGCAGTAGGGGTGAAGTTGGACCTGGATTCCTTCTCTGCTTCTCTTAGCACAGAAAAGATGAGCTAACTCTCCTTGAGTGAAGGCTGGGAGCCAGTGAGGGCACATCTTGGCTTTCCCAGGAATAGGGGATTATTAGCTGGCCCTACCTTGAACCTTTAGATAATCTTCCTTGTTTGGAAGTAATATACATCTGTTAGAGTTGCATGGTCGTGGAGATGTTGGTGCCCAAATTTGGAAAGGTTTGGTGCTAAGATTTATGGAAGATGCGTGTGTGCATCAGGCATTGATCCTCCCCTCAATGTTTCCCTCTTGTGAGTGAGACAGGATGGGTGAATAAAGAAGCTGGGAAAAGGGGGAAAGTGGTACACATCAGAAGAGGGGCAAAGGTATCGTGTTATGGGGAATTGGAAGAGAAGAACTGGCCACATCTAGAATAGGGGGTAGGATCAGACAGGGCTTTGTGGGTGACATTTGAACTGTGTTTGAAAGACGAGAAGGGTTTGGACAGATGGAGATGGAAGGAGGACACGGGGCTGGGAGAACAGCAGGATCCATTGAAAGGAGGTTGGACTTGGGGTGAGTACTGGAATCAGTAAGTTAAGGCTCGAATGAAGGGCATGGGAAGGAGGGTCTGTGTAACTTGGGCGAATGAGCACAGGCTTTGGAATTCCAGGTGTGCCACTTAATGACTATGCAGCTATGGGCCAGTATTTAACCTTGAGTTTCAGTTTCCTTATCTATAAAGAGGAGTAGTAATCACCAGGTTGCAGGTTTGTGAGTGTCTTAGATTGGGTTCCATAGCCTGAGATGGAGATTCTTGTGCAAATGCTTCCTTGAAGGAGTGCTCTCAAGAAAGGGGGGGGGGAGGAAGCAGGGTAGGGCAGGGGAAGGAGCTGAGCAAGGTTGTGGTCTCAACTGGAGACTTGCCTCCACCTAATCCCATGAGGCACTCTGGAGCATGATTCGTACCACGGAGTGGGTTCCACCTTGTGACAAGGGGACTAGCCTTTGTGCCCCCATGTTAGTCAGTCACTGGCTGTGAACTGCCCCAGAAGGTGGGGAGAAGATAATCTCTTGGTTGAGGCACTTCCCATTTGTCCAAGGGCAGTGAAGAAGGGAATAGCTGTTGGTTCTTAGCACCTGTGGCTGGGTGATAGGTGCATCTACCTGGTAATTGGGACCTGGGTGGGGCCCCAAGGGCATCAACTAGAGTAATGGTCCGCAGTGCTTTTCTGTAAAAGGACAGATAGGTTAGGCTTTGCGAGTCTTTGTTGCAACTACTCAACTCTGCCCTTGTAGCATGAAAGTAGTCATGTTGTTATTGTTAGCTGCCATTGAGTTGGCCCCTGACTCATGGTGGCCCCATGTAACAGAGTAGAACTGCTCCATGGGGTTTTCTTGGCTGTAATCTTTATGGAAACAGATTGTCAAGCTTTTCTTCCGTGGCACCGCTGGGTTGGTTCGAACCGCCAACCTTTAGGTTAGTAGCCGATCACAAACTACTTGTGCCACCTGGGCTCTTTAGACAATACATAATCAAATGTACTTGGCTGTGTTCCAATAAAACTTTATTTACAAAAACAGCCAGCCATCCCATAGGCCATAGTTAGCCAGCCAGCCCATAGGCTGTAGTTTGCCAACCTGTGTACTAGGAAAAAACAAAAACAAAAACCAGTTGCCATCGAGTTGATTCTAACTCAAGGTGACCCCATTTGTGTCAGAGTAGAACTGTACTCCGTAGGGTTTTCAGTGGCTGATTTTTCGGAAGTAGATTGCCAGGCCTTTCTTCTGAGGTGCCTCTGGGTAGACTGGAACTTCCAATTTTTTCGGTTAGCAGCCAAGTGTGTTAACCGTTTGCACCACCCCGGAACTCCAGTCTGTGAGTAGGAGAACAGGATTCTGCCCTGCCCATCACTTTATACTGAGCAACTAGTACAGTTTTTAGGACATAACAGGTAGGCCCTCGAGATTCATTGGTGAATAAATCTTGGAAAGATGATCCATGCTACCAAAACCCCATAAAACTCTACTGTGATGATTGGATAAACTTTGATGAGGTTGATTTTAGTTTTGCCCACTTATGTGCAGGATCAAGATGTGCACAAAGGTGACAATGGATGACTTCCTGACGGCCCATCATGAGATGGGACACATCCAGTATGACATGGCATACGCCAAACAACCCTACCTGCTAAGAAATGGAGCTAATGAGGGGTTCCATGAAGCTGTTGGAGAAATCATGTCACTTTCTGCTGCCACACCTGAGCATTTGAAAGCCATTGGCCTCCTGCCACCTGATTTTCAAGAGGACACTGGTATGAACATTCTTTCATGGCTTGTGCTAGGAGTTCTTTAGTCTGATGTGGGCAAAGGGTTTTATTATCATGCATAGGAAATATTTACTTTTTGTCACATAAGCTAGAAGGTATTTATGGGTATTTGGGAATTGCCGGAGCCCTGGTGGTGCAGTGGTTAAGCGCTCTGCTGCTAACCAAAGTGACGGCAGTTTGAACTCACCAGCCGCTCTAAGGGAGAAACATGTAGCAATCTGCTTCCATAAAGATTACAGCCTTGGAAACCCTATGGGGCAGTTCTACCCTGTCCTACAGGGTCGCTATGAGTCGGAATCAACTGGATGGCAATGGGTGGGGAATTGCTATTGGTAAAAAAATTAAAAAGTATTTATCAGAACATGCCAAATTGTGGCTTTATATCCTTGAAAAGGGAATAAGAGTGGCAGCTAAATGCATGGGCCTGGGACTCTAAGAAACATACAACACAACTTTTTTTTTTTTTTTAGCCATGCTGAAAGAGGCCCACAGAACTGAAGTGGCTTGTCCAAGGTCACCCAGCAAATTAGTGTTAGGGTTCTAATTAGATCCCTCTGGTTTTAGGTAAAAAACTTCCCCAAACATTAGAGCTGGCACAGATTCCAAAAATCATTGTACAGAGATGCAAACTGAAGCCAAGAGAAAGAAAGTAACTGGCCCAAGGTCACAAAGCAATGTAGCGGCAGGACCAGAACCAGAGCCCAAGCCTAAAACTTTTCCCGTAACGTTATGCAAAGCACAGTATGACTTGACATGTAGGCGTTCTTGACATGTGGGCGTTCAGCTGGTGGAATATCAAGATTCAAAGGGACCTAATTGTTTGTTCATCCAGCTGAAGCATGAAATTCCTGCTGTAACATCCCCTCAGATCCCGGCTATTCTTCTCTTCGGGCAACTTGGACTTGATGGAGCATGACAAATGCTCACGAGATCCAGATTCTTCCACAGGGATGCCATGGCTTTTTATTCCTCTTTGTCAGGAGGATAATTAGAGTCAAATGTCTTCTCCTCTTCCATGCATTTCTCTCCCCTCATGTTTGCTATTTGAAACCTAAACATCAGCTCCGCTGGCTGGAGCTTTTGGTCAATGAGATCAAGGTCATGAGCTCCATTTTTAGGTGAGCTGTTCACTTTGCCTTGATTGCTGGCTCCAGACTCTCTGTGATCTCGCAAGAGCCTGAGAGTAGGTCATTGTAAACCATCATCATGGCTGAAAGAGTTATTGTAAGTATAGACCCAGAAGATTATAGACCATTGGTGGCATCTTCCATGAAGGGAGCAGCAAAAAAAAAGGTAGTTAACTAATCATGTCTATTTCCTAATTTTAAAATTTCATGCATTGAAGTCAATTACCAGACAATTATTATTTTATCATTTTTTAATATTCCCTACAACAGGCAAAGATGGCTGAATCGCTAAAGTTTTTAAGATAGCACTAAAAAAAAAAATTGTTGTCCAGTCGATTCCAACTCCCAGCGACCCTAGAGGACAGAGTAGAACTGCCCCATAGGGTTTCCAAGGAGCGGCTGGTGGATTCGAACTGCTGACCTTTGGGTTAGCAGCCGAGCTCTTAACTACTGCGCCACTAGGGCTCCAAGATGGTACTAGACATGGTTAAACCACTGGCTTGAAAAAAAAAAAAACAAAACTCTTGTTTCTTCCTTGGCTCTGCCTTTGATCTGTGAATGAAGTTAAAAAAAAAAAATTCCTTCATTCCTTCCCTCCCTCCCTCTCTGTCTTCCTTCCTTCCTTCAAACATATTTATTGAGCACATACCATGTGTGTGCAAGACATTTTTCTAAACACTAGAGATACAGTGGTGTGCCAAGTAGATACTGCCCCAGTGCTTACATTTCAGTGAGCCTCATTTGTACACTAGAGATGATCTCTACTGCGTATTTTCTTCGTTAATAAAGGAAAAATAGAATAACATGGTCTATTTTCTTGGTAAGAAAGATGGCAGTGCATTTAAAGTACATTCTAGCTTTCATTATCCTGAGGATGGTGTTTTCTAGGGACCCCCCCACTCCAGATTATTGGCTTTTGACCACATCTGTCTAATATTTGTTTATTTAATAAAAACTCACAGAGGGCATCATGTCGCAGACAGTGGACACAGTCTTGAATGAGACATTAACGGTCACTGCCTTCACAGAGCTTACAATAACAAATAGTATGGCTGAGAAAGTTGATGAACTAGCCCTAGTTAGCTCTGATAAGAGGAGTTTAAGGTAGGCAATTAAAATTAGTGAAAGAAAAAAGAGGATTAGGGGCTGCCTGTGGATTTTATTTACTCATTCTATCCCAGCACTTTACCCTATTTCAAGTTCCTTAGTTGAAAAAATGAATATATACACACACATAGTATATCTGTATAGTCCACTGTCAATATTTCTCATGTAATCATCCTTATAGTAAGCATATCTTGAGGAATAATACCTTGAGATTAGGAAAATTCTCTTTGACACAAAATATTCACTGTCTTCCTCATCTTCATATTTATCCTTTGCCATTTAATTTTCAGAAACAGAACTGAACTTCCTACTCAAACAAGCGCTCACGATTGTTGGAACTCTGCCCTTTACTTACATGTTAGAGAAGTGGAGGTGGATGGTCTTTAAGGGTGAAATTCCCAAAGAGCAGTGGACGAAAAAGTGGTGGGAGATGAAGTAAGTCAATGAGTATGTAAATCGGTAAAATGTTTTCTCATGAGTTTGCCGTTTATTTAGAAAAGTATGAAAGCATCTGACTGTCCTATGGGGACACACACACATACAGACTACCGGTATCTATATTCCATTGCCTGAGGGCTTCTTTTGACCACCAGACCCTTTACATGGCAGGAAGGGCTGAGGAACTAACACTGCTCCCGTCAGCCCTCGGCCAGGGGCTGATGGGAGTTGGTGGATAAATAGCTCAGCTCCTTGCCCTCAGGTGGGAAACTCTGAGGTGAATGCTCTCCACTGACTCCTAGAGTTCTTCGGGGGGATTAAGCTCCAGTTACCCGCAGTGGTAACTTGCTTGATAACACACCTTTTTGGGGGGGCAAAGGGGGAGGTTCTGCTTTCTTTTCCATGCCTCACTTCCTCACTCCTTTGCTAGTGTTCCCTAGGGTCATCTCTCAGGACCTTGTCTCAGGGTCTGCTTCTGAGAGGAACCAATCTAAAACAATTAGGATTGGTGTTCTCAGAGAATGCTTCATAGTCAGAATAACTGGGATTTCAATGGCTAAATCTTGAAGGCTTGTGACATGGGTTTAAGTATGTAGAAAAGATAAGGATATTCAGGCTAGAGCAACGCCATCAAACCATACCCACGCACACGCAAACACGCACACCCCCCCCCCCAAAGTGCCTCCTTTTTATTTTTTTAAGTCTTCAGTTAGGTGCCATCTCCTCAGACAAAATGTCCTTGGCTCTGCCCCCTACCCAAGCAGGGTCAGGCGACACTACCTAATGTCCAGTTTCTTAAGCGTGGGGGCCCCCCATTAAACTGTGGTGTTCTTTAGTAAGTGGTCAATTTATTCATTTTTTAATTTATTCTTTTGTGCATTATTTAAAACAAAAATGCTGTCTGCCAGGAGCACGTAAAATGTGGTGCCACAACATGATGAACAGAATGTCACTGAGTTGTACATGTAAAAAATGTTGAAACGGCAAATGTTTTGTCATATGGATTCTCACCACAATAACAAAAAATGTGGTGCCGGAGAGTAATTATTAGGGCCTTCACGGTACATTTTTGGCCATGCAATAGCGAGCGCTCGATAAATTTTATTTTATTTTATGGCCTTACTCTTTGTTTTAAAGACATAGGCATTTTCCAATGGTATCTTCTGGCTGAATGCAAAAAAAGAGACAACCACACAATGGGCTTTGTTGTTGTTGTTGTTGTTAGGTGCGGTCGAGTTGGTTCCAACTCTTAGCAACCCTGTGTACAACAGAATGAAACACTGCGCGGTTGTGCGCCATCCTCACAATCGTTGCTATGTTTGAACCCACAGTTGCAGCCACCGTGTCAGTCCCTCTTACACTGTTTTTATTTCACCTGACAACCAGTTCCAATGTGCATACCACTGACTAATGAAACAGCACAGGCTGTGCCCAGCTCTCCCTTGTCATGATGGGTGACCCGTGGCTAATGTATCTTCTTTTCTCCCTAAAGGCGAGAGATAGTTGGGGTAGTGGAACCTGTACCTCATGACGAATCATACTGTGACCCCGCGGCTCTGTTCCACGTTGCTAATGACTACTCGTTCATCCGGTAAATGACAGTTCTGTTCTCACTCTTTAACTTCTAGGGTTTGTGGACCCCTGTACTAGTGGCAAAGAAGTAGGGATCAATGAAATGGTGATGATAATTTATCTTTCTATCTCCACGCCCCACCCTAGAAGCTCGAAAGAGATGATCACTTTCCATTCAATTTAACATAACATGATTTATTGGATTAAATAAAACTTGTGTGCCATCCGTTTGCCCCCATCGAGGAATTACTAGTATCGTTGGGAGAAATAAAAAGCTTTTTTGTTAGTTTTCTCATTACTGACAGAGTTCAGAGAGTACTGTAATAGAAAGAACATTTTTAACTTGGAGTCCAAAAACCTACGTTCCTCACCTATTGACACCCCGACCCTGAGTTTCCTGAGCCTCCGTTTCTTTATTTGTAAAGTGGAAATAATGTCATCGTCCTGCTATAAGGATCAATTAATATTATTCATATAAAAGGGCTATAAATCTGTACAATACATTATAAGTATAAACTAACATTTAAGAAAGTAATACTGCATTGCTTATCAGCTGATATATAAAATACAGGTAAGTTATGATGAGTTTGTAGGGTTCACGTTTGGGTCTTTCTGGAAAGAGAGGTTTGACTAGTACCTCTGGTTCCTTGGGCTGCTGAATTCAATTTTTTGCCCCAGTCAATGATTCTACCATCGTAACTAAACACAGAACTGCCTTTTTTCTTTGTCTCTTGTACAGGTATTACACAAGGACCATTTATCAGTTCCAGTTTCAAGAAGCCCTTTGTCAAGTGGCTAAACATGAAGGTCCCCTGCACAAATGTGACATCTCAAATTCCACCGAAGCAGGGAAGAAGCTGCTGTAAGAAATGCTTCTAAATGGTGAACCTCTCCTAGCATCCATGCCTACGCTTGAATTTGGTTTTATATTTTCTGAAAAGAAAATGTTTGGCTTCAAAATGTCCTTTTCTACATATTAAATGTTTAATTTGTGGTCAGGTAGAAACCAAGAACTTGCAATGGTTGGACCAGCCATCTCCTCTCTCCACATCCAATCTACAGAGCTCCCTTTGTAGTAATTGGAAAGGCAGAGAGCGTGAGGGATGAATACACTTGTTAATACACTTTATTCTCTTATCCGCCAGGAGCAAACTGAGCCAAGTCAAAGAGAAGGAACCATAGACTGTAGGTGTAAATAGAGGTAGATCTGGAATCCCTCAAATGGCCCTGAACCCTTCTTTTTTCATATAGCGGTATGCTGAGCCTTGGAAAATCAAAATCCTGGACCTCAGCATTGGAAAATGTTGTAGGAGCTAAGAATATGAATGTAACACCACTGCTCAACTACTTTGAGCCCTTGTTTACCTGGCTGAAAGAGCAGAACAGCAATTCTTCTGTGGGATGGAGCACTGACTGGACTCCATGTGGGTACCAATGAGTTGACATGTTTCGTGTTGCTCTCTCTCTGCTTCTCCCTAATCTACTCTGGCCCAAGTCTCATAGGGCTGTCACAGAGATCAGTATGTCTTCCCTGTACATAGACCCTACTTCAGACTCTGCTATGCTGGCAACTGCCATTTTATGGGGGAGGGAACGCATTGTCTGTCAAACACCTACTATGTACTAGACACAATGAAAGCTACCTTACACACCCACTCTCTTTCAAGTCCACTTTATTAGCCCCATCTTTAAAACATAATGTATAGCAGTCTCCAGCTTTCTCACCCTCTCAATGAAGCTTTATCACAATTTTTAAGCAAAGCAATTATCAATGTGTATATCATTATGCCTGCAGAGCCAAGTAATATACTACTTTATATCCTTTCTTACGTGGCTTTTTGTTTGTCCTGCAGTTTGTACATGCCTCATTTTTTTGGCACGCCTATCTTGCTATCTACATAGTATAATTTTTTTCCAGCTACTCCAACGTATCTATTATTTTCAGCCTTGTTTTTTTCCTAGAGACTTTCCTCTTAGAGTGCTAAATCCTCCTGTCTCCATCTGAACCAGTTTTCATTCTGAGTCATTCCTTTGCTGCTGTTTCTGGGGTGTGTAACATCAAGAGTTGGTCATCAAGCCGTTCAAAAGCTCCCCAGGTGATTCTGATTACAGCAACACTTGAGGGCCACTGACTTAGAGATATATTTTGAGGTTACAAAGTGTTTTACAGAAAATCGTTGAATCTACTGCTTCCTAAACTCCATGTCTTCCTTCCTGATTACCTCTTGTTTCACTGGAGCACAGCCTCCAAGTGACTTTCTAAGCAAGGATACATGGTAGGACGATCAACTGTGCCCCAAATTGCCTTTAACCACACCTTGACTTCAGTCTCCCTGTTTTCAGCTGGACACCTTCTTCCCACCATCTACCATCCCTGAGTCTCAAGACTCTATCGGGCTCTCTGGCTCTTTTGGGGTCTATATCCGCTCTGTGTACACACTATGCCATGGCTTACTGTCCCCTGAGAAAGCAGTCACCCCTCCTCCATCACTTGTCATCTTCTAAAAGTGTATTTATGCCTTGTTGAAATTGTCTTTACTAGCACTTAAGTGGGATAAGTGGAGGGGAAGGAGGTAAACACGTGGTCAATCTGTCATCTGTAACTACAGTCTTCTATTTCTTGTTAATCAGATAATGGCCAATCCATCAAAGTGAGGATAAGCTTAAAATCTGCTCTTGGAGACAAAGTGGTGAGTATCTTGGCTAGTGCGTCCATTACTTTTCAATGAATTGCCCCTAAATGGGGCACAATAAACCCATTCCAGGGTGGTCAGAAAGGTTAGGGGGCCACATGGTTCTTTTCAAGAGTACTAGCCCCAGGTTCTGGCCTTCAGCTTGTTTTGTTTTGGTAACACATTCCTTATTGGATAGGCTATGCCTACTTTCTACTTGTTGCCTTGAAGGTGTCATGAAGATCAATGAGAAAACATCTATACCAGTCCTTAAATATCAAGTACCCACCCTCCCAATTCACTCTGTCACCATGACTTGTATTTGAGGAAGAGGACTTAGGTATATTTTGAGAGATTGTTTTTAGAAGTAGTTCGTGTAGTTTTTTGTTTTAGTCAGCTACATATCCTGGCTACAACGAGTGTGGGCCGTGGACCAGCAGCATCCGCATCACCTGGGAGCTTGTTAAAATGCAGAATCCTAGGCTCCAGCTTAATCGCTTAATTAACCTGTTTAATCAGCTTAATCAACCTGCTTAATCAGCTTAATCTTCTTAATCAACCTGCTTAACAGTATTTTAACCAGACCCGCCTCTCCCCGCCCCCGCAGGTGGTTGCTATGCACAATAAAACTGAGAAGCTCTGATTTAGAACACTGTTTCTCAAACTTGGCTGCACATTGGAGCTACATGGGAAGTTTTAAAAATATGAATGCCTGGCTCTCACCCCGAAAAACTCGGATTTAATTGGTCTGGGGTGTAACAGCAACAGTTGGGCATCAAGCGGTTCAAAAGCTCCCCAGGTGATTCTAATTACAGCAACATTTGAGGACCACTGACTTAGAGATATATTTTGAGGTTACAAACTGTTTTACAGAAAATCATATTACACACACCTTCATTGAGAATTACTTTAATCAGCTATTGCTTTCTCCTGAACACCTGTCTCAGGTTATTCGGTCTGAGAAAGTAGAAGTCGCTTCAATTGGGAAAGAGGAGAGAAGGTAATGTCAGGCAGATTGAGATCAAAGACCTAGGGATGCAGGCGTGTGGGGTACCCCGAAGGCTTTGCAGCGTTTGACCACGCCCTGGGGCTATTGGGTAAAACAGTCCAAGGTGCTACAGAAAATTGTTGCCTGCATCGGATACATCCAAGAATTGTATTTCTACCCCCTTGCTTTTCCTGGAAAGTTAAATATTGTCCAAGTCTTAATAGTAGTTGTACTATATTTTTCATAGATAAGACATCAAAATATAAATAATATAGTAGGAGTCAAAAGTGAACACTTAAGAGAGAAATAATAAAAATGGAGCTGCATTGCTTCCCAAACTCTGAATGTTCAAGTTCCTATTGCTTAACGATCATTGAGTGTCTACGGGATCATTCCTCTTGCTGTCATGTTTTTATTAGCTCTTCCCTGGTCTAATAAATTTTAGTTACAACCAGCAGATTTGGATCATTTTTAATTATCTTTTTTCTTGGCATTTGTCCCCATCTTCTTTTCTCATGCAGTAAGGGGATTGGTAAATAGTCTTCAGAGGGTTTGATAGTGTAACCTTCTGAGGCCTGTTCACCCATTGCTGTTGAGTCGATTCTGACTCATGGTGACCCCACGTGATTCACAGTGGACCTATGCTCCACAGGATTTTCAATGGCTGTGACCTTATGGAAGTAGATTGCCAGGCCCTTCTTCCCCACCACTGGGTAGATTCAAAGTGCTGACCATTTGTTTAGTAGCTGAGAGCAAACCATTTGCGCTACCCAGGACCTTAGATGAGATCAAGACCATACTTTAAATGCATCTACATATTGGGGCCACCACCCATCTGTCAGTTTGTTGTACTGTGGTGGCTTGCATGTTGCTGTGATACTTGAACCTATGCCACTGGTGTTTCAAATACTAACGGGGTCACCCATGGTGGACAGGTTTCTTCAGTGCTTCCAGACTAAGACAGACTAGGAAGAAGGACCTGGCAGTCTACTTCTGAAAAAATTGGCCAGTGAAAACCTTACATATAGCAGCAGAACATTGTCTGATATAGTGCCAGGAGATGAGCCCCTCAGATTGGAAGGCACTCAAAATACGACTGGGGAAGAGCTTGCTCCTCAAAGTAGAGTCGACCTTAATGACGTGGATGGAGTCAAGCTTTCAGGACCTTCATTTGCTGATGTGGCATGACTAAAAATGAGAAGAAACAGCTGCAATATCCATTAATAATCAGAAAGTGGAATGTACGAGGTATGAATCTAAGAAAATTTGAAGCCATAAAAAATGAAATGGAATGCATAAAGATTGATATCCTAGGCATTAGTGAGCTGAAATGGACTGGTATTGGCCATTTTGAATCAGACAATCATATGGTCTACTATGCCTGAAATGACAAATTGAGGAGGAATGGCGTCACACCCACTGTCAAAAAGAGCATTTCAAGAACTGTCCTGAAGTACAATGCTGTCAGTGATAGGATGATATCCATACGCCTGCAAAGGAGACCAGTTAATATGACTATTATTCAAATTTACACACCAACCACTAATGCCAAAGATGAGGAAATTGAAGATTTTTACCAAATTCTGCAGGCTGAAATTGATCAAACATGCAATCAAGATGTGTTGATAATTACCGGTGATTGGAATGTGAAAGTTGGAAACAAATAAGAAGGATCAGTGGTTGGAAATTACGGTCTTGGTGATAGAAACAACACCAGAGACCGAATGATAGAATTTTGCAGACAAACGACTTATTCATTTTAACAATATAAATAGAGACTATACACGTGGACCTCACCAGGTGGAAAATACAGGAATCAAATCGACTACATCTGTGGAAAGAGACAATGGAAAAGCTCAATATCATCATCAGAACAAGGCCAGGGGCTGACTGCGAAACAGATAATTAATTGCTCACATGCAAGTTCAAGTTGAAGCTGAAGAAAATTAAAACAAGTCCACGAGAACCAAAATACGATCTTGAGTATATCCCACTTGACTTTGGAGACTATGTCAAGAATAGCTTTGACGCATTTAACACTAGTGAATGAAGACCAGACCAGACTAGTTGTGGGATGACATCAAAGACATCATACATGAAGAAAGCAAAAGGTCATTAAAAAGACAAGAGAGAAAGAAAAGACCAAAGTGGATGTCAGAAGAGACTCTGAAACTTACTCTTGAACATAGAGTAGCTAAAGCGAATGAAAGAAATGATGAAGTAAAAGAGCTGAACAGAAGATTTCAAAGGGCGGCTCAAGAAGACAAAGTATTATAATGAAATGTGCGAAGACCTAGAGTTAGAAAACCAAAAGGGAAGACCACACTCAGCATTTCTCAAGCTGAAAGAACTGAAGAAAAAATTCAAGCCTTGAGTTGCAATATTGAAGGACTCTATGGGCAAAATATTGAACAACACAGGAAGCATCAAAAGAAGATGGAAGGAATACACAGAGTCACTGTACCAAAAAGAAATGCTGGACGTTCAACCATTTCAGGAGGTAGCATATAATCAAGAACTGATGGTAATGAAGGAAGAAGTCCAAGCAGCACTGAAGGCACTAGTGAAAAACAAGGCTCCAGGAATTGACGGAATACCAACTGAGATGTTTCAATAAACGGATGCAGGGCTGGAGGTGCTCACTCGCCTATGCCAAGAAATTTGGAAGATAGCTATTTGGCCAACCGACTGATTGAACAGTATCATTAACATCACAACAAGTAAAATCTTGCTGATGATAATTCAGAAACGGTTGCAGCAGTATATGGACAGGGAACTGCCAGAAATTCAAGCTGGATTCAGAAGAGGACGTGGAACAAGGGATATCATTGCTAATGTTAAATGGATCTTGGCTGAAAGAAGAGAATACCAGAAAGATGTTTACCTGTGTTTTATTGACTATGCAAAGGCATTCGACTGTGTGGATCATGACAAATTCTGGATAACATTGCGAAGAATGGGAATTCCAGAACACTTAATTGTGCTCATGAGGAACCTGTACATAGATCAAGAGGCAGTCATTCAGATAAAACAAGGGGATACTGTGTGGCTTAAAGTCAGGAAAGGTGTGCGGCAGGGTTGTATCCTTTCACCATACTTATTCAGTCTGTATGCCAAACAAATAATCCAAGAAGCTGGACTATATGAAGAAGAAGGCAGCATCAGGATTGGAGGAAGACTCATTAACAACCTGCGTTATGCAGATGACACAACCTTGCTTGCTGAAAGTGAAGAGGACTTGAAGCACTTACTGATGAAGATCAAAGACCACAGCCTTCAGCATGGATTACACTTCAACACAGAGAAGACAAAAATCCTCACAACTGGACCAATAAGCAACATCATGATAAATGGAGCAAATATTGAAGTTGTCAAGGATTTCATTTTACTTGGATCCACAATCAACGCCCATGGAAGCAGCAGTCAAGAAATCCAACAACGTATTGCTTTGGGCAAATCTGCCACAAAAGACCTCTTTAAAAGCGTTCAAAAGCAAAGATGTCACTTTGAGTACTAAGGTGCGCCTGACCCAAGCCATGGTATTTTCGATCGTCTCATATGCGTACGAAAGCTGGACAATGAATAAGGAAGACTGAAGAAGAATTGACGCCTTTGAATTACGGTATTGGTGGAGAATATTGAATATACCACGGACTGCCAGAAGAACAAACAAGTCTGTCTTGGAAGAAGTACAGCCAGAGTTCTCCTTGGAAGCGAGGATGGCAAGACTTCATCTGATGTACTTTGGACATGTAATCAGGAGGGACCAGTCCCTGGAGAACCACATCATGCTTGGTAAAGTCAGTGAAAAAGAGGAACACCCTCAGTGAGATGGATGGATATAGTGGCTGCAACAATGTGCTCACGCATAGCAATAATTGTGAGGATGGCGCTGGACAGGGCAGTGTTTCGTTCTGTTGTACATAGGGTCACTATGAGTCAGATCTGACTCAACAGCACCTAACAACAACAACATATTCGGGCCAGAATGTCTGCCCAAATCAGGCGATTTCATGGTGAAGCCCAATTGGATCTTTGGCATCATTTTGAGAACTCAGCCTTTAAGATTTTTTAAAATACGGAAATAGTAACCATAATCTTATCCGCAGTAGTATTAATATTATGATTATGATTGAAGTAATCTTTTTCTCCCCAAACCTGGGTGAAACCAAGCTGAAGTGAATGTTAACAATTCTTTTGTGAAACCTTGTAGATTTTTTTCCTAAAAGATAAAGGAGAAACACGAAATGTGTGCCATTCATTGATCTCTACTGCCAGCTACTGGAGGAAAGAGTGCATGCTTTTTTCTTTTTTGAACAAGTCTTTCGTAGACAGGTAAACACAAGCCATTTGTTTAGCATTGGCATACAAGAGTCAACAGATTACCTTGCTGTTTACAAGGTGTTATTTATTCCTTTGGAACTCAAGTTTTCCTCTTTTTCTTTTACACTTAGACACATCTTGAAACTTACTCTAAAAATAGCAAAAGCACTGTTGCTGTTTGCCATCAGTCAATTTTCCACTCATAGTGACCCCATGTGACAGAGTAGAACTGCCCCATAGGGTTTTCTAGGCTGTAATCTTTATAGGAGCAAATATCCAAGTCTTTCTCGCGTGGAGCAACTGGGTGAGTTCGAACTGCCAACCTTTTGGTTAGTAGTCCAGCGCCTAACTTTGCCACTGGGGCTCTCTGTACGTTGTTGTGGTGGTGTGCTGTCAGTCAATTCCAACTCACAGAGACCCTATATGACAGAGTAGAACTGCCCCCTAAGGTTTCTTATGCTGTAATCTTTATGGGAGCAGATCGCTAGGTCTTTTCTCCCACAGAGCCGCCGGTGGGTTCGAACCGCTGACCTTTCCGTTAGCAGCCAAGTGCTTAACCATTCACCACCAAGGCTACTTTAGGGCTCCGTATATTTGTCTAAATTATATAGACATTTTAAGCAAAACCCACAACTCTTCTTTGACTTCCATCTGTAAACCTGCCCTCAGAGTGTCTATTTCAGCTGACATCCAACCCAAAGCAAATGGATCACTGAACCCAGTTAGTTCTTAAAGCATTTTCACCTGGAAGCTTGTTAGAGCTGCAAATGCTGAATTGGAAGCTCTGAGAGAGGGGCTCCGTGTTTAACAAACCCACCAGGTGATGCTGATTCATGTTCAAGTTCGAGAACCACTGACTTAATGAAAGGTCCCTGGGTGGGGCAGACGGTTTGTGCGTGACAATCTAAAGGTTGGTGGTTCGAACCCACCCAGGGCGCCCACCCTGCAGAACAGTTGTAGGCTGTAACACATGGGATCACCATGGGTTAGAATTGACGGCGAGGGTGGTTTTTTGTTTTGTTGTTTGTTTGTTTTAATGAATAGCAAGTCTACTTGTAGTATGAGGAAAATTAAGAATAATGGTTGCAGAGCGCCATGTTTTGACTGTGCCATGTGATCTCTACTGAGCAGTGCCTTTCTTCTGAATTTGCAGTACGAATGGAGTGACAATGAAATGTACTTGTTCCGCTCGTCTGTTGCATATGCCATGAGAGAGTATTTTTCAAAAGTCAAAAACCAGACAATTCTTTTTGGGTGAGTTGATTTGCTGGGTTCTCAAGTTGCTTCAACCAGCACTTCCCTTATTCTTGGGTCTGCGGGTACATTCTGCCTAAACTTTTCTTTGAGTGAAATTAAGAACAACCTCCTAATAACTTTTAAAACTTCTTTGATATTCTGGAATCTGGGCCTCTCTGTTTAGAGATAATTATGGCTTAGCTGACTTGTTGATTGTAAGAGCATTGTTCTCATTAAGTCCACTTCCTCTCTCTCAAATACTCTCACCCACTCTCGGTACTGCCTTTATTGGGCTTATATTCTAGTGTATACGTGGTGTGTGTGTGTGTGACAATCAACAAAATGTACCAGTGAAATATCATAGAATTCGATGGTGATAAGTGCTAGGAAGAAAAACGCAACAGGAAGGGGGCTAGGGAGTGCTGGTGTATGTGTGTGTCAATTTTAACCAAAATGGCCAGAAAAGGCCTCATTAACATTTGAGCAAGGATCTGAAGGAGGAGAAAGAGCCAGCAGTGTGGATAACAAGGAAGTGTTTCAGTCAGAGGGAACAGCAGGTGCAAAGATCCTGAGGAAGGAATGCCCTTCACCTGGTGGAAAAACAGCCAAGATACGAGTGTGGCTGGAGCAGAGTGAGCTAATAGAAGACAACATGTACCAGGGCACCACGGGGAGAAGTGGAGGGAGAGAAAGACGTTTGCGTGGGCTTCCAAGACCATTCTCAGGACTTGGGCTTTTACTCTGAGTAAGATGGGTAATCACTGAAGGGTTCTGGGGACACAGTCTGCATCAGGTTTTAATAGGATCACTCTGGCAGCTGAGAGCTCAGTCTTGTCACATCGCCCAGTAAATCCCACTCATGACCTTCACCCATGGGGATAACAGGACATGGTCTGCTGGGAGGGAGCAGGGTGGGGGGCTGTAAGTGTACCATCTTTGCACATGGCATGAGCCATGACTGCCCGCCATGTTGTTTATTACAATCCTGGGTCACCAGTGATTCCTGGCTGATTATCTGGTGCTTTCAGTGTGAATATTTTCCATCACTGAAAAAAAAAAAATGTGGTTTTTGTACAGTGGCAGAACAAATAGTGCCAAGACTTGATATCACAGCTTATGTAGTTGACGTCCTGGGCTTTGGGCAGTTTTAATGTGTTTTGGATAATTACATCCTCCCAAACAGGGAGGGATTACCCAGATTAGTAAGTAAACACAAGTTAGCCAGTGCATACCTTGCTTACTGGTTAATCCGCTCCTGCTCCTGATGCACCCTCCCCCACCCCGGTTGGGTGCCCTTGTCTCTCTACTTTACCCCAAGACCCTCTCCTGGGGCCCTCCCTAGTCTCCTTCCCACAGAAGAGGAAGTGTTCATTCCTTTACTGCGTCCTCTCAGCCTCAAGGGGAGATGTTTCTTTTGTTTCTCCACAGAGAGGAGGACGTGCGGGTGAGTGATTTGAAACCACGAATCTCCTTCAACTTCTTCATCACTGCACCGAATAATGTGTCTGACATCATTCCTAAAACTGAAGTTGAAGAGGCCATAAGGTGACGTTTTATGTTCAAACACGCTATGCAAGGATCAGGGGGTTAACAAATGCAACGACAACCACTACGACTAGCACTTGGTGCGCTCTGTTTGCTAGGCGCTCTTCTCAGCCATTGATTGGCATGTTTCACTTCGTCTTACAAACTGAAGTTCTGTGTCCGTCTTGGGGAGAAGTGCCGGCTACGAGCACCATGGAAGAGCCCAGCCCTCCTGGGTATTCAGCTCTAAGCTGCAGGGGACCTCACACCTGGTTTCCAGAACGACCTGAGCACTTTCAGACTGAGGTTGCCTGGAGTGACGTGGCTGATTCTGATTTGCTCTCCCTCCCTCTCTGGGTAGACGCTAACCTCTTGCCCACTTGACTTCCATCTCGTTCTGGTTTTTTCTTCTTTAAGAAGATAATCCTCATCCTTTCTGCCTCTATAGAACTCAGCCGTTTCCTGTCCCAGTGCTGGAGAAACTGGAAAACCTCCCTTTTCTGTGTTTTTCTCCAATGCTGCCTCCATTTATGTGGAAATGCTACTATAGAGACTTGGCTATAGGACCTGATTCATTTGTAGAAAGAGATGTATCCAATTACCCTTTGCCATTGTTTGATATCCATTTATTATAGACATACTCTGACATAGGGGAAACTCTTGCTAAATATGCTAACTTTGTCTTTACAACACAGTAGTCACAAATAGCAGCCGCCAACCATTTGCACATTTCCACACTTGCAACCTAGGTTGCAAGTTATGAAAGGTGCGCAATTGTCAAAACTCTTATCTTTCATGGGAGGGACCTGGCTATCTATTTGATTTCATTGTCATTTTAGGTGTACATTCTTAGGATAAGCCTTATCAAATCCTTTCTGGAACAACGATATAAAGGGTACAGAGCTATGCACCATTTTCTTTTGCCTAAGTGTCCTCTTTGCTGTGTCTTGCTTTTGCCAATAGGATGTCCCGGGGCCGCATCAATGATGTTTTCCGCCTGGATGACAACAGCCTGGAGTTCGTGGGGATTCAGCCGACCCTGAGCCCCCCTTACCAGCCACCCGTTGTCATATGGCTGATTGTTTTTGGAGTGGTAATGGCAGTGGTAGTAATTGGTATTGTCTTCCTGATCTTCACTGGGATCAGAGATCGAAGGAAGTAAGTGAACTTTCCTAAGACTTATCTATCTATCTATCCTAAGACAGTAAGGTTTAGGGAATACTAGCTAGAAAATTTGCAGTAAGTGGCAGGTTGTGTAGGCTAGTTACTTAGTTGAACAATTTTGCACCTAAATATTCTGATGCATCCCCTAGACATGACCAGATTTCATTTGCCCTTCACCTTCCTAGCAAGCCTACCACAGCATCATTTCCTTAGTGACGGAGGCACTGCAGACTCACCTGGGTGGGTGGGCTCGGGGGACTGTCCTCACTGCTGAGTCCTCCTTGCTCTGGAAGAGACCCTAGACACTGGACTGGTAATGGGTATGAACTGTGGAATCATTCAAGAATGAGCTCTGATATTTGCTTCAAACTACTCCCCTTTTATCACCTATCTTCCTTCCCAGCTGGCCCTGACTCTGTATCATTCATTTCATTAGTTCATGGGCCGGGCACTCTCTAATTTGTTCTTCAGTTAAAGATCAAGTTCACTGAAGTTTTAAATCACTAGGGACCTAATTTCTAGTCTTGGTCTACCACTAGATTTTTTTCTGACCTTCAGAAGTCATTCCCTTTCATTGGGCTTATGAAATAAAGGTTCATACTCTTTTATAAAGGAGCCCTTGCAGTACAAACGGTTAAGCACTTGGCTGCTAACTGAAAGGTCGGTGGTTAGAACCCACCCCGCTGCTCCGTGGCGGAAAGACCTGGCAATCTGCATCCATAAAGATTGCAGCCAAGAAAACCCTATGGGGCAGTTCTACTCTGTCACATGAGGTCTCTAGGAGTCAAAATCAACTCAATGGCACTTAACAACAACTCTTTTATACCACCTAACAAAACTCTATTCCCACTGCAGCTGTTTAAACATTTTCTTGACTGAATCTCTATATGCACTACTCTATTTGGAGCCCCGATGGCGCAGTGGTTAAGCAGTTCGGCTGCTAACCAAAAGGTCAGCAGTTCCAATCCACCAGCCGCTCCTTGGAAGCCCTATGGGGCAGTTCTACTCTGTCCTAGAGGGTCGTTATGAGTCAGAATCGACTTGACAGCAGTGGGTGGGGTGAGCACTCTACCAGCATCGTTTCATTGCCTGCACATAATTGCCATCATTTTCTGAAGAGGCAAGCTGAGGCCTCGAGTCCCCCTCTCTGACTCCAGAGCCCACACCCTTAACCAGCCTCGTACGCTCTACCAGTCATGGTGCCAACCACTCACGGGGGCTAAGGAAATGCATCCAATGCCATCCTTGCACTCCAGGAGTTTACAGTCTAGTCAGAGAAGACTGACATGCAAATGAGTACCCAGTGATTAGCCGCTGAGATGGAAGTGATGCCTGGGGCCAGTGGAGACCAAGGGAGGCAGTAGTCATTCTGACAACGCTGTGTTAAGGTGACTTCACTTTATTTAACAGGAAAAGCCAAGCAAGTTGTGAAGAAAATCCTTATGCCTCCGGGGACTTGAGTAAAGGAGAGAACAACCCAGGATTCCAAAGCACTGATGATGTCCAGACCTCATTTTAGCAAACCAATCTGATTTCTTCCTGAGGTGATTTTATAGGATGTAAATGCTAATTTCAAGGTACAGAAAATATGGGATTATGAAGATGTCAGTAACTATCAAAACTATGGCTCTGTTCAGGTGGCGTTGTCCAAAGACAGCGCAACCACGGACAGGGCACCCTCACGCTCACTGCTTTCAGTATTTATTTCTGCCTCAGGAGCTGACTTTCCTTGTGTTTCCTAAAAGGATGTTGACATCAGAGAATAGTAGAGAACGTGTGTCTTTGGTCTCCCAGGCTGGTCGGGGGAAGGGAAATGTAACTATGTTGAGTGGCTGGAGTTGAATAAAAGGCTATACTGTGGGAGCAAGTGTTGAGCCTTGTGTGGAATATGGATGGAGAGCCTGTGAGGACTGTGCCCGTGAGCTGGTGGGGTACAGGAATTGAGAAGGGCATACAATGTTCCCTTTAACTTATCCCACATGTAAAGGATGACCCGCTTTCTTTGTGTGAACTTAATTCAAGTACTATAGTGATTTCCCACAGTGACATTTGGACCGGACCCTTCCGTCTTCAGGGTGACAGGTCTAAAGAAGAGACAAGAATCCAGAGAGGAGTTGGTAGGCATCACCTTCTCACTTCCAAGCTCTTGATCGACATCTCCCTCCTGACAATACAAAGCTAGTACCAGGGGCCTCCACGAACCCCCCAGAGCACACATGCTAGAAACGCGCTTCCATTGTTCTGGAGCTGTCGATCCCAACTGAACGCCACCCTCTGAAGTGGGCATCTGATCTCTTCAATCTTTTGTAATCACCCACAGTGTCTCAGTAGTGCTGAGCACAGGACAGACAATAAATGCTTGCTAGATGTACACACTGCTGTATTCTCGTGTGTACTCACGTCCTGGGGTTTTTGTGGATTCTGTCTACTTCTCCCTTCCATGGACAGAGCTGTCGTCTGACTGCCGGAACGAACCCTTGACCACCCCAAAGGTCTTGGGATGTAGCCCCGCTTCTCAAATTGCTCTATTGTACAAAGCAATTATAAAATCAATCCAACAAATGGTTCTAGTAAGACCTGCGCCTGTTTTTGAGAAAGCTAGACATTTGTGTTCTTGTCCCTAATACGCTGAGGTTCATATACCAATAGTAGATGCTCACCTGTTATAGAAGAGTTCATTTAAACCTCATAACACCCTCTGAGGTACACAGTATCTTTATCCACACTTTATAGATGGGAATATTGAGGCAGAGAGTTTAACTTGTTCGAGGTTATGCAGCTAGGATATGGTAAAGCTGAGATTTGAACCCAAGTAGTTGGGTGCCGGAGTCCCTGGGTGGTGCAAACGGTTAATGCTCTTGGCTGTTTACCATAAGGTTGGAGGTTCGGATCCACCCAGAGGCACCTCAGAAGAAAGACCTGGCGATCCACTTCTGAAAAATCAGCCACTGAAAACTCTGTGGAGCGCGGTTCTACTCTGACACACATGGAGTCGCCATGAATCAGAATCGACTCCACAGCAACTGGTTTTTATGACTGCTTTGGTGCCACCAGGCAGAGCTGAGTAGTTGCGACACAGACTGTATGGCTCATCTATTCAATTTGCTTTGTAAAGGTACTTACCTTGCAGTGACACAATACTTTAGTCAAAACATGACAGGCAGTTTGTGGGCTTGACCAGTATGGAAAAATTTTAAACGACTGAAGTGTTTCTGTTTAAAAGTCAACCAAACAGAACTGTTGAAGAATGAGGCAGTTAATCCTCATACTGTCATTCTTATTTAGTAATACGTCTATAATGGTTTTCTTTCTCCCAAAAGAACATAAACTTTAAGTCTTATAAACAAAAACAATTCCAATCTTACATCTGTATACTGAATTTTGAAATTTGCATTCTGGGCTAGTTGCTTTTGAAATAATGAGCTAATTTTGTTACTCAAACTGCAAAAATCTAATGGCCCATACCCATTGCCGTTGAGTCGATTCCAACTCATAGCGACCCTGTAGGACAGAGTAGAACCGCCCCATAGGGTTTCCAAGGCTGTAATCTTTACGGAAGCAGACTGCCACATCTTTCTCCTGCAGAGCAGCTGATGGGTTCCATCTATCCACCTTTCGGTTAGCAGCCAAGCACTTAACCACTGCGCCACCAGGGCTGCTTATCTAATGGCCAGAAAAGCCCAATTATTCCCCATTATTTGAAGACCTATGGTGTGTGTCTGATATTCTCCCTTTGCGGATTTTTGTATCATATGTTCTTCCACGGAGACTAATCTGAAATCTCAAAAACTTAGAGACTGGAAAATAGCAGCTAGGTTTAACTGAAGTGTCCTTTCATTGTAGGAGCTCTGGTAGCACGGTGGTTAAGAGCTCGGCTGCTAACCAAAAGGTCAGCAGTTGGGGTCCACCAGCCGCTCTTTGGAAACCCTCTGGGGCAGTTCTACTCTGTCCTATAGGGTCGCTATGAGTCAGAATTGACTTAGCAGCAATGGGTTTTAAACGGGTTTTTCATTGTAAGAAGCCTGGGTGGCAAAAACGGTTTGCACTCAGCTATTAACAGAAACATTGGTGGTTCGAACTCACCCAGTGGCACCATGGAAGAAAGGTTGGTGATCTGCTTCTATAAAGATTACAGCCAAGAGCACCCTATGGAGGTCAGTTCTACTGTGTAACACACAGGGTTGCCATGAGTTGGAATCAACTTGACGGCAATGCGTTTGGTTTCAGTTTTTATTGCAATAGTGCCCTCCGTGTAACTTTTCTCTCCCACTTCTTGACATTATAGACAGGGCAATCAAGTATTCCAGAAGAGATTAATAACCCATGGGCCCAGCAGCAGGGCAATCCCAGGAACAGTTTTAAAGCTAAAGTACCTTCTAGTAACAGCCATGGAAAGCTAAAATAGGACTTCTGTACTTTGGTATCAAGATGGAAGAATGAAATGGAAACCTCAGTTATCAAACTAGCCAGAATCCCTAGAGCCCACAACTGAAAGATTTCAAATGATTAGGAAGCAGCAATCTAACAAATTCTAGAGAGAAGACCATGGTGAGACTGAGTTGAAATTGATAATGGTTAAGACTAAGGAAGAGCATCAAATTGTGACTTTGTATCTTTTTAATTTTGCTCTATGTGAAATATATTTAATATGTTATTTAATAGTTTTAACTTAAGTTTTATATTTGTGTACATGATGACGTAAGAAGTCATTGTTCTCATCTGGATATCAGAAGAAAATGGTGCCATTTGGTTTGAATTATGGGCCAACTAATGATGCCCCGTGGGGGTAGTGGTGGTTCAGTGGTAGAATTCTTGCCTTCCAAGCGGGAGACCTGGGTTCGATTCCTGGCCAATGCACCTCATGCACAGCCACCACCCATCTGGCAGTGGAAGCTTGAGTGTTGCTATGATGCTGAACAGGTTTCAGCGGAGCTTCCAGACTACAATAGACTAGGAAGAAAGGTCTGGCAATCTACTTCTAAAAATCAGTCAGTGAAAACCTTATGGATCACAACCGTCTGATCCACGACCGATCATGGGGATGGCGCGGGACCAGGCAGTGTTTCATTTTATTGACACAGAGTCATCGTGAGTTGGAGGCTAACTCAACGGCCGCTAACAACAACAACAGCAATGCCCCACCACATAATGAGGTCCCCTAGCGCAGTTCAGACTGACAGCATCAGCATCCTCTGGGAGCTCGTTAGAAATACAAATTCTTGGGCGACCCTCAGACCTGCTCTTCCAGAGTCTCTGGGGTGGGTCGTAGGAATCTCTGTTTTAATAAACTCTCTTCTTGACTCTCATGAGTGCTACTGTTTGAGAATATTGAAACATGAAGGCAAATGTCCACATTTTTGTACATGCTAATAACATATTTAATTATCATGACAGCAACAGTATAAAGAAAAGAACGAAGATCCAACAAATAATTTTTCAATTCTGTTCAATGTTTACACATGGTACACACCTTCTCCATACTGCAATCAGAAAATATGCTTCTGCGATAGGCTAGGAAGTATTATGTTAAGAGCAGCACAAACCAAATTACTCATTTGACCTGAAAGTCAAGGAAATTTTTGGTTTCCTACCTTGTTAATTTCTAGATCATATAACAGACAAACAGCACACAGAACACCATTAAGAAGAACTAGCTAAATTACATTATGCCTTGCTACTTTCTCTTCAAAGAAGAGTGAAAATGTTGGCCAACACGTATATCCACTCTCATCAACTCTCCGAATTTCTTCTTCAAGGCTTGTCTTTTTCCCGAAGTGGTTCAATGGAAGATAGAAGTTGCTGAAATGTGGGACGCTTTTCTGGGAGCTAAATAAAAGAAAAACCCAATGTGTTCATTTATGAATGTTATAATTAAAAAAAAAACTATATAAAATATTTCTACTGCAGTCCTAAAACCAGCAACTTTTCAGATGTGGAAACATTACAGACATTTCTACGAAGGTCAGGACTCAAGGCAAGGATGCTGGCTCTATCCACCACTCTTTTCATTATCTCTGTCGGAGGTATTAGCCAATGCAATCAGACAGAGATAACAATTAGAGCCCCGAGAATTGGAAAAGCAAAAGCAGCTGCATTTGCATAGGATATGATTGTATACTTGGAAAAACCAAGAGAATCAATGATAGAACTAACCCAAGCAAAAAAGAATTCACAAGGAGAGCAGGATATAAAATTAACATACAAACCAATAGCCTTCATAGATAACCTACAATAACCAATTCGAAGGTGTAATGGAAGAGAGAACCCCGTTTACAATATCAACCACAACCAAAATAAAATACTTAACAAAAAGTACCCCGAAATGAGGAAAACTGTAAAACACTGCTGAAAATACAGACTTGAACGCATTGCAAAACACCCCTTGGTCTAGAATAGGACAAAGCAACATCGTAACTATATCAATTTTCCCAAGTTAAAATATAAACTAAACACAATCTCTCAAAAATATGAACAAGTTTGCTTCAAGCTAAATAAACAGATTCTCTACTTCATAGATTTAAAAAAATATGCAAAAGTAGCTAGAAAAACTACGTAGAAAGATGAGCAACAAGGGGGTGCTAGCTTACCTAATATTAAAACATATTATAAAGTCTCTAAAATTAAAACCCACCACCCGTCTGTCAGTTTGCTGTACTGTGGTGGCTTGCATGTTGCTGTGATGCTGGAAGCTATGCCACCGGTATTTCAAATACCAGCAGGGTCACCCCTGGGGGACAAGTTTCAGCAGAGCTTCCAGACTAAGACAGACTAGGAAGAAAGGCCTGGCAGTCTACTTCTAAAAATTAGTCGATGAAAACCCTATGGATGGCACAGAATATTGTCTGAGTGGATTCAAACATGCCAATGATCATGAAGATGGTGCAGGACGGGGAAAAGGTTTGTTTTGTTGTACTTGGGGTCACCATGAGCTGGAGCCGACGTGACGGCAGTAACGATAACAACAATAATTAACATAGTGTGGTCTTGGCAGATCAAAGAACAGAAGAGAGAATCCAGAAATAAACCCAAATACACAATGGAAATTTAGTATAGTATTAGGGTGGTATCTTACGGCCATTAAGTATCTTTGGGGTCTTTTAATAAACAATACTGCCACAACTGGAGAGTCATTTAGCAAATGACATCTTTGGATCCATACCTTATACCACATACCAGAACAAACACAAAGTAGATCAGCGAGGTAAAGGTGAACCACCCCCACTGCCGTCGAGTCCATTCCCACTCATAGCGTCCCTACAAGACAGAGTAGAACTGCCCCATAGGGTTTCCAAGGCTGTGATCTTTATGGCAGCAGACTGCCACATCTTTCTTCCATGGAGCGGCCAGTGGGTTTGAACCACAGACCTTTCAGTTAGCAGTCGAGCGCTTAACCACTGCACTACCAGGGCTCCTTAAAGGTAAAATAAGGAAGCATATACATACCAGATGAAACCCTAGGTGAATGCAACTATACATCTGGGTATGGGAAAGGCTTTCTAACTGTGACTCAAAACCCAGAAGAAATAAAAGCCAGCATTTGACTATATTAAAAACAAAACTTTTGCATATGGCAAAGAAACACCATACAGTAAATCAATAGACAAGTAACAAACTGAGGGAAAATATTTGCAACTTATATGACAGAAAAGTATTAACCTCCTTAATTTATAAAGGGATTTTTATACCAAAGGAGGAAAAAGGCAAATGCCTGAGAGAACAGAGGGAAAAAACGATAGTTCTTAGAAAGATGCACATATTAAAGCTGCACCAAAATTTCTCCTCTATCAGACTGGCCAAAACTGCAGAGCTTGACAATGCGCTCAGTGGGTGAGGTTATGGAACACAGAACCCTGGTGGCACAATTGTTAAGCGCTTGGCTGCTAACGGAAAAGTCAGTGGTTCGAACCCACCCAGTGGCTCCTCAGGAGAAAGACCAGGCGATCTGCTTCCATAAAAATTGTTACTGTTCCAAAGGACTAATGGACCACAAGAACCACAGCCTACATAACCCCGAGACCAGAAGAACTAGACAGTGCCCAGCTACCACTACCAACTGCTCTGACTGGGATCACAACAGAGGGTCCCAGACAGAGTGGGAGAAAAATTGTAGAACAAAAAAAACCAAATTCACAAAAAAGACCAGACTTACTGGTCTGACAGAGACTGGAGCAACCCCCGAGACTATGGCTCTAAGACACCCTTCTGACCTGGAACTGAAGCCATTCCAGGAGACCGCCTTTCAGCCAAACCATAGACAGGCCCATAAAATAAAGAACACCCGAGAGGAACGTGCTCCTTAGGACAATCAATTATATGAGATCAAAAGAGCAACATTTGCCCAAAAGCAAAGATGAGAAGGCAGGAAGGGGTAGAAAATCAGGATGAAAGGAAACGGGGAAGCTCGGATAGAAGTGGGGAGAGTGCTGACACATTGTGGGGAATGAAACCAGTGTCATGAAGCACTTCACGGACAAAGTATCGAATGAGAAACTAATTTGCTCTGTAAACTTTCACCTAATGCACAATTTAAAAAGAAAAGATTGCTGTTAGATGCCGTTGAGTCAGTTCCCGCTCATAGCGACCCTGTGTACAACAGAACGAAACACTGCCGGGTCCTGCACCATCCTCACAATCATTGCTGTGTTTGAGCCCCTTGAGATGACAGCCTAGAAAACCCTATGGGGTAGCTCTGTTCTGTCACATGGGGTCACTATGAGTCAGAATCGACGGCACACAGCAACAACAAGATCAGGGCTAGAGATAGGTTCAGGGCTTGGAACCACTGCTGAGCATTTGCATTTCCACCCCAGATATACTGACTCAGAATCTACATTTTAACAAGCTCCACAACCAAAAACCAAACGCTTTGCCGTCGAGTCAATTCCGACTCATAGCGACCCTGTAGGACAGAGTAGAACTGCCTCATAGGGTTTCCAAGGGGCAGCTGGTAGATTCGAACTGCCGATCTTTTGGTTAGCAGTCTAGCTCTTAATCACTGCACCACCAGGCCTCCAAGAAGATGCCCAGCTGAATCTTATGTGTGATAAATTTTGAGAACCACTGCTCTACTAGCGGTTCTCAGAACTGGTCCGTAACCAGCAGCATTAGCATCGCCTGGGAACTTGTTAGAAACGCACATTCTCAGCAGGGGTTTGAACCAGCCAAGCTGGTTCAAAGCCCTGCACGACTTGTTAAAATATCTGCTTGCATTGCTTGTTTTAGATTACAAACACTTGAGGGCAGGCCTCAGGGCCATTATCACCTGCCTTGTGGCAGGTACTTTCCATCCAATAAAGCTTTGCCCTGCTGGTGGCACATGTGGGCCCCCACCCCGCTCACCCGGCGGCACACTTACCTCGTGCCAGCAGCTGTACATGATCTGGTAGACGGTGTCCGACGCCAGTTGCGGCCGGTAGAGCCTGTAGCCCTGGGAGACCTTCACAACCACCTGGGAGTTGTCATACAAGTCATAGGGCTGCTTCCCCAGGCTGAACACCTCCCACATCAGGATCCCTGCACCGCGCCAAGACAAAAAAGAAAGAGCCGACGTCAGAAGGTACAGGGTTTGGGGAATGAGCGTCTCATACCAGGTAAGGAAGGCTAGGGGTCTGAGCCCGGGCTCCCAGGGCACGGAGGTGGGTCTGTACCACTGCTTCTGGAATCTGGGGTCTCCGTCCTTGTACCCTGAGCTCTGGAAGTCTGTGCTTGCTGGGTAAATGGTTAAAAGGCAAGGGCAGCCACAGAGGCAGCCACTTGGGCCGCTTCCGGGAGGCTGCTGGAGCCTCATTCTACCTTACAACTGACTGAAGTCCTGCCCTTTCTTCCTCTCTCTCATAGTAGCTGCATGCAACAATTTCGCTGCACAATTAAATTACCATTCAGGGGAAATTTAAAGATAAAATCATTGGCAACATTCATCGCCCCTTCTCCTATCACGTGGTCCTTCATTGTCTTTTGTGGGTCAGGTGTCCTTTGGAGAATTGGATAAAAGCTCTCACTTTGGGAAAGTGAACAGATAGCATTTTTGGGTTGGGTTTCAGGATGTTCACAGTCCCCCGAAGCTGATCCAGGGCATCGAGGTCCAGGCTCAGAAACCAAGATCCGGCCGTGGTGGTCCAGAGGGACATTTGGGGGTCAGTCAGATGTGGCCTTTGAGTCCTAGTTCTACCACCTACAGACTGGGCAAGTTTCTTAACCCCTCCCAGCCTCAGGTTATTTCGCAAATATCCGAAAAATGGAGCTATTTGCACCACATAGAATTGCCATGAGGCTTAAATAGTATAAAACATATGTTGTTGTTGTGTGACCTTGGGTCGATTCCAACCCTATAGGACACAGCAAACCTATAGGACGCAGTAGAATTACCCATGGGGTTTCCTAGGCTGTAATCTTTATGGGAGCTAATTGCCAGGTCTTTTTCTCCCTCGGAGAGGCTGGTGGATTCCAACCACCCACCTTCTGATTACCAGCCAAGTGTTTAACCATTGCGATACTAGGGGTCCTTATAAACCACATATAGACATTGTGCTGTTGTACCGAAAATACGTAAGAAGGAAGAAAATTATTTGAGAACCGTGACTGGGCTACTAACTTCAAAATTTCTTTGACTTCTAGGGCTATAGATTTTATGAAAAATGTTTATAATAGGGCACTCTTAGACATTGTTGTGGCTTTGTGTGTGTGTGTGTGTGTGTGTGTGTTTAACAAACATTCTAAAACAACCATTTAAAAGAGTGGTGCTCCTTTTACATCTCTCTCTTTGGAAGGCTACACACTTATTTCAAGGATATTATACAGTCGCTGGGTGGTGCGAACAGTTTGTGTTTGGCTGGTAACCAAAAGGTTGGCGGTTCGAACCCACCCAGTGGCACCTCGGAAGAAATAGGCCTGGAGATCTGCTTCCCTAAAGATTACAGCCAAGAAAACCCTATGAGGCGCAGTTCTACTCTGAAACACGTGGGATCTCAATATATCACAAACCAACAACAAAACAAAATCAACAACAAGGATGTTATCATCGCGCAAAATATGTGCGAGGCTCCTCTTTGGGAGTTGCTTTCAGAAGCCCAGGTTCCTTTTGCATACCTTACTGGGGACACATTATTTAAGAATGGATTTAATTTTTAGAAATAGCCAGAAAATATCTGAAGGCAAATTCTGCTGCATAAGGTGAGTAATCAAACTGCGTACTGTGATATTTTGGTTGCAAACAAGCTATAACTATTGAGTAAGGATGCTGATTTTTTTTTAAACATATATATTTGATATCTTTTTATTAATAGTAGGGAAGCTATTAAGAACTATAAAGTTAATGTTCCTTGTGCCAGATCTTCATTATTTCAAAGTAAACTTGCAATTATATAATTTATATCCATGGATTTCTTTTACATTATTAAAACAATCATACAATAGCAATTTAAAATAATTTCAGTTGAATATTTCTAAGATCCCAAATTGGTAAAGTAGAAGCATGGTTTCCAAGTCACACGTCACTTGATTTGGCTCCTGCCCACTTCAGATGCGACTCATTCTCCCCCCACCACCTTTTCTTCTTCACTGGTCTTTTAAAGTTCCTTGAATGTGCCAATTCCTTTTGGCTTCATGGCCTTTCACACATGCTGTTAATTCTCCCCGAACCCTCTTTCCTATCTAGGCTTTTTTTTTCTCTAAATTTTGTTTGTTTTATTGTTGTTGTTGAGAGTATACACAGCAAAACAGACACCAATTCAACAGTTTCTGCATGTAGAATTCAGTGACATCGATGACATTCTTCAAGATGTGCGACCATTCTCCCCCTCCTTTTCTGAGTTGTTCCTCCTCCATTAACATAAACTCACTGCCCCCTAAGGTTCCTATCTAATCTTTCCAGTTGCTGTTGTCAATTTGATCCCATACAGATAGTTCCTGAAAGAGCGTAATGCTCAAGGCAGACATTTTTTACTAGTTAAGCTAAACTATTGTTTGGCTTTAAGAAGACTTCAGGGGATATCTTTGGTTTAAGGTTTAAAGATTATCTCAGGGTAATAGTTTCAGGGTTTCATCCAGCCTCCATGGCTCCAGAAAGTCTAGAGTCCATGAGAATTTGAAATTCTGTTCTGCATTTTCCCTCTTTTGATCATAATTCTTCTATGGAATTGTTGATCAAAATGTTCAGTGGTGGTAACCTGGCACCATCCAGTTCTTCTGATCTCATGGCAAAGGAGGCAGTTGTTCATGGAGGCAATTAGCCACACATTCCATATCCTCCTCCTATTCCTGAATCTCCTTTTTCCTCTTTTGCTCCAGGTGAATAGAGACCAATTGTTGTGCCTTGGAGGATACTGATTTTTTTTTATAGCATTCATAAGGCATATCAATTGATATAAGGAGATTGGAACTAATTTTGACAACAAGGTATAAAAATTAATCCACACAAAATGACATCAAGTCTTCACCAAAATACTATCTTGGGTTGTTTTTTTTTCCTTCTTTTTCTATGCACATTGGAATTTTTTTTTTTACAAGAACAATGCCACTTTAACAAAAGGAATTGTATTTTTTAAAGACTATGTCATGTAGAAAAATAAACAACTAACTAAATTTTCCCTTCTCAGGCAGTCTTATAGGTGTCAAACAACAGTCAGATTTCACTTATGAACTAAGACAGGCACGAAATAGGTATCAGTCATATATAATATATTCCATAACTTTATGATAATTTGGGTTATTTCCCCTGCGCCAATCTGACAGTGATTGAAAACAGGCTTGGCATTCCTCACAATGTAGAAAAATATCAAAATCCACAGAGTCATAATTTTAAAATTGTTTCTGTTCGCTAATTACCTTTAATAAATTTCAATATAGATATGTTAATAAAATAAGAGTCAGTGAACTTTTCCTGTAAAGGGTTAGATACAGCAGAATGTATTTTCGACTTTGTGGGTCAGATGGCCTCTGTGGCAACTACTCAAGTCTGCCGCTGTAGCACAAAAGCAACTATAGACAATTTGTAAATGAAGAAGCATGGCTGTGTGCCAATAAAACTTTACTTACAGAAACAGCTCCCAAATTTGTTCCTTGGGATGTGGTTTACTGGCCCCTGATCTAAAATATGAATTTTAACAAGGAGAGTAATTGAAACTAGGCATGGGCCAAAAAAAGCACCGATTCATGTTTGTGTTTACACCAGAGATGCCAAAAGAATTGGTCAGTTCAGAAGTGAACAGTTGTCATGGCTGTCCTTGGGCAGAAAAGTGGATGGCTTCATTTTAAGCCTGTCCACTTTTTGAATTTCGTGCCAGCTCTAGTTTCCGATCGTTCCTTTTCAAGATCTTCAGCAGAAAAGCTTTTATCCCCTTAAATTTTATGAGAAAGGGTTAGCAGGATGTACATTACTCAACGTGTAGTAGACATCCTAACACCCGGCCCAAGAAGGAAAGCATCTTCTTCCACCTCTTACTTGTCTCAGGCCATCCGTGTGATTTTGTAAGTGTTCAAGGGCCTTTTAAAAATGGGTGTTGCTGCTCTTGTGGTTTCCTGTTGTGGAAGCTGGCTTAAGAAACAGTCCTGTGTGGCCACACACTTACCGAATGCCCATACATCAGACTTGCTGCTGTATTTGAAGTAGTGAAACACCTCTGGGGCTGACCACTTGACCGGAAACTTTGTTCCTACTGAACTGACATACTGGTCATCAAGAACATACCTGTGGGGAAAACATCAACACAGACCTTAAGCAACATGGCGGAGCAAAATGGCAGCAGCACAGGCTGATGGGGGACACAGAGCCATCAGGCTCTCAACCAAATGCCTGTTTTCTGACTCTTTTGCTTCCTTTTAAAGTGTGAGCTTAGCTAGAGGCTGCTTATGACTTGAAAGCATTTTAAAAAATGATATTTAACTTTGAAAATAGCAAACTCTGAATGCAAAAACTTGGTGACTATAGAACACCCAAATGGCAAAACAAAACAAAACGAAAAACTAAGAATCCCACCCCAAAGATAACTTGTAATTCTACCACTCAAGGTACATTTTTGCTTGTACTTTCCAATCTTTTCTCCTATAAACAAGGAGTCTTTGGGCGGTGCAAACAGTTAACGTGCTTGGCTGCTAACTGAAAAGTTGGCGGTTTGAGTCCACCCAAAAGTGCCTTGGAAGAAAGGCCTGGTGATCTACTTCTGAAAGATCACAGCCATTGAAAAGCCTATGGAGCACAGTTCTACTCTGACACACACGGGGTTGTCATGAGTCAGAGTCCACTTGACGGCAACTGCTTAATTTAAACAAAATTGGGTTTCTATTGGTTTGAGATCTGCTTTTATTTTTTATTTAATGTCATATCATGAGCATTTTCCCATGTGGTTAAATTTTCTTCTGCAGCATCATGTATTCCTTCTTATACCTGTTGACATGAAGTTGATTCTGACTCATAGAGACCCTACAGGACGGAGTAGAACTTCCCCAGAGGGTTTCCAAGGAGCGGCTGGAGGATTCCAACTGCTGACCTTTTGGTTAGCAGCCAGGGCTCCAAATAGAGTAATGCATACAGAGAGTCAATCAAGAAAATGTTTAAACAAGCTGCAGTGGTGATACGGAAAATTTAACAACATGAAAACAAAAGCTTTCTTAGCGTTAATGCTCTGCCCATTTGCACATAGAAAACCCAGAAAGGTCTATAGGAGCCTCGATGAGTTAAAATATGTATGATATATGTTGTTGCGGTTAGGTGCTGTCGAGTTGATTTCAACTAATAGTGACCCCATGTGACAGAATAGAACTGCCCCATACGGTGCTCTAGTCTATAATCTTTACGGGAGTAGATCGCCAGGTCTTTCTCCTACGGAGCCACCGGATAGATTCAAACTGCCAAACTTTCCGTTAGCAGTTGAGCACTTAACCATTGTGCCACCAGGGCTCCTTGTATAATGTATACAGTAATAATATTATATATAATTATATATTAGAATCATATTATAACTAATAAGCATAATATATACTTCTCCAAATAATGTGGCTGTAGCATATTATGTTTAAATATTTAGAGTATTTAATGGGATTTATTCAGAAGTTTAAGGAGCCACGGTGGTGCAATGGGTAAACGCTCGGATGCGAAGGGAAAGGTCGGCAGTTGGAATCCACCTAGCAGCTCCCCAGGAGAAAGGCGATCTGCTCTCCTGAAGATTACAGCCTTGCAAATCCTATGGGGCAGTTCTACTCTGTCACACAGGGTCGCTATGAGTGGGAGTCAACTCCACGGCATACAACAACTACATTCAGAAGTTTAGAAAATACTCAGCAGAGTGTTGATAGACTTAAAAGGGGCTTCAGATAATTTCTGAAGAACAAGTTTCATTTCTTACAGGTGAAGACATGAGTTGAAGCACACCTCACAGGTAGTCAGGGGCAGTAGGGGGGATGGGGAACCCAGGTGTCTAAATCCCCAATTCAGAGCACCTTCTATAGCCCCGCGACGTCTGCAGCGGTGATGGGCATGTAGATGTTAATGGAAACCCCTCTTTCACTGGTTGCCTCTTTGGAGTTGGCTTACCTTGTCATCCCAAAGTCAGATACTTTCACAGAGAGATCACTGTCCACCAAGCAGTTCCGAGCAGCCTTTGGAGGAAAAACAAACCCACCAAGTATTAAAAGCGCCCAAGAACTGCCTGACATGAGAATCAGATCCTTTTCTTCTCTTCTGCAGAATGCTCCGCAAAATCTGATTGCCTATCACAACCCACATGCTCTGAAGTTGTCTGTTTTTCCTTTGCAAATCGCAATTTTTCAAAATGGAAACGTGCTCCCCTGAGTCACTTGCACCCACGCATCCATCCTATCCAACAACATGAAATGAAAGATGTTCCACGTCAAACTCGGAGCCTCGGTTAATCAGTGAGAAAGGAGGAAGTATTTATAAGGGTGGGCTTTCCAGCACTAGGATACTGCACGGTAACAGATGCACCGAGAAAGACGAGGCCTGGCCATTTGTCACCTCTTGAAAGCTCTTGCTTTGGAGGCATAGAAGCTGTACCAGGGAGTTTTGGAATTCACTGGCCTCGCACGCATGGCATATTGGCTATTCAGCACAAGAAACTCTCTAAAGAGAAATCCCAGGGAGTACCAGTCAGAACACTCTCTCCTCCCACCCTGAGTCAGAGACACACACAAATTGCATTTCCTCCTGGTTTTTGTATTTTCAGTTATTGTATCAAATGACTGCTTTAGCATTAAGCCCTTCCGGGAGTAAAGGTCAACTTGGATGTAATGGTTCCAAGAAAAATTCCATTGGTTAAAGTCTTTCCTCTTCATCTCTTCTTCATACCACAACACAGCTACATAGCTCTCAATGGCTTCTTCTACTGCTTCTGTTCTTTGATTTTCAGTACTTCTCATATTTTATTTTCAAATTGGGATTTTTATTACAAAAGTGTCAGACGCTTAAGCAAATCGCAAGCGATCAAAGTAAAAGTAAAGGTGTCCCCCTCGCTGTCCCTCCCAGTGGCCCCATCCTTGGAAGTCAGAACTGTGGACTGCTTTCTTTCCTTTCTTTGAGCTTCCAAGGGCGTTACTTACCAGGTCTCGGTGTATAAACTGGTGGCTCTCCAAGAAGGCCATGCCTTCACAAACGTCGTAGCACATTTCTAAGAGCTGGGAGGGCTCGAGTCCTTTTCCATGGTTCTTCAGGTAATTAAGCAAGCAGCCGTTGGTTATATATTCAGTCACTATATATATGGGGTATCTCTTTGAACACACTCCATAGAACTTAACCAGCTTGGGGTGGCTGAGTTTCCTGGAAACAACAGATTTTAAAAGGTCAGTACTGAATTTCCACACTCTGTTTTCCAGACGTTCTGAAAAAGAATCACTCTCAGATTTTTGTTTGTTTTCAGTTCTCCCTTCTCCCTGAACAGAGAAAGAAAGGAAAAAGTCCAGGATCTTATGCTGGGAATATATTAGCCTTTGGAGGCAAAAAACGACACCTCGTGCGGGACGTTGGCAACCCCAGCAGCAGGTTAGCAGTGTGGGTGTAGCAGCCTGTGCTGTTTTACACTTTCCCACCCAGAACCAGGGCGGCAGTGGTCTGTTGCCTCGAAAACCCTGGCTTGTCTCGTGACATCCTGAGAACTTCCACCACTGATTTGGAGGAAGCCACTCTAAGAGCACTCACTTCCATTGAAAAGCATCTAACTCTCACGTCTAAATATTTTGTTCTAGAGTAAAATAATATCAGAATATGACAGGCGTAGGTAAAATGAAAATTGTTGCTGTGTTACAAAAGTGAGACTTGTTATTAGTTGCCCTGGAGTTAATTCTGACTCATGACCACCCCACATGTATCAGAGTAGAACTGTGCTCCATAGGGTTTTCAAGGCTGTGAGCTTTCAGAAGCAGATCACCAGGCTTTTCTTCTGAGATGCCTCTGGGTAGGTTCGAACAGCCAACCTTTTCGCTAGTAGTCCAGCGCTTAACTGTTTGCGACCCCCAGGGACTCCGAAAGTAAGATTAAGCATGACTCTTCTCTCTTTAATTCATTTTATGTTATTATTACATGCTTTTTTTCAATAATGGATTTATAAATAGGAACCACACGACACGGCACGTCTGGTAGGTCATGATGGGGTGGACGCTCAGGTATCACGATGTTCATCAACTTGTCTTCATATGATTTCTCTATTCCTGTCAATTTACAGGATGATTCTTTCTTCAAAAAATTTTATTTATTTTGCCGTTGCTGTTGTTGAGAATATGCACAAAACATACACCAATTCAACAGTTTCTACGTGTACAATTCAGTGACAATTGATTACATTCTTGGAGTTGTGCAACCATTCTCACCCTCCTTTTCTGAGTTGTTCCTCCCCCATTAACATAAACTCACTGCCCCCTAAGGTTCCTATCTAATCTTTCAAGTTGCTGTTGTCAGTTTGATTCCATATAGATGGTTGTTTAAAGAACACAATGCTCAAGGCAGACAATCTTTACTAGTTAAGCTAAACTACTGTTTGGATTTAAGAAGACTTCAGAGGATATTTTTGGTTTAAGGTTTAAAGATTATCTCAGGGCAATAGTTTTAGGGGTTCATCCAGCCTCCATGGCTCCAGAAAGTCTAGAGTCTATGAGAATATGAAATTATGTTTTGCACTTTCTCCCTTTTGATCAGGATTCTTCTATGGAATCTTTGATCATAATGTTCATTAATGGTAACTGGGCACCATCCAGTACTGGTCTCATGGCAAAGGAGGCAGTTGTTCATGGAGGCAATTAGCCATACGTTCCATATCCTCCTCCTATTCCTGACTTTCCTTCTTCCTCTGTTGCTCCAAGTGACTAGAGACCAATTGTTGTTACAGGATGATTCTTTAATATTTGAATGTGTAGAGTAAACCTAAACTTAACATACATCATCTTTTTTTTTTTTTAAATAAATGAGGATGTATTAAATCCTTGGTTATTTTCTTTCTTCTTGGTTTAAGCATAGGGGGTATGTCTTATGGTCTTACTTAGGCAATAAGCTCGAGTACACATCTGTCAGCACTTCTGGAGACCTGCATGGTAGCCAGCAAAGCTCTTTTCAAAGGGAAGGCTTGTGGTAGGACAAGGGTCCATCACTCAGTACAAGGCTGTTCCTTGAGCAAATTCAGTCACTGCCCAGGGGGCTCTTGGTGGGATCACCATGTCAACAGATACTTCCACATGATAGGCCTCAGGTTGACCATTACATTTGAGGTTTAACATTTTCCCTTTATGGTACAGTTTGACATCTTTCTTTATGATTAGGTGATTTTTTTAATGACATTTTATGATTCTTTATCATAAAATGTAGTGGCAAAATGGAGTCCCTGGGTGGTGCAAACAGTTAAGCATGCACTGAAAGGTTGGTGGTTTGAATCTACCCAGAGGCGCCTCAGAAAAAAGGCCTGGTGATCTGCTTCCGAAAGGTCATAGATTTGAAAACCCTATGGAGCAGTTCTACTCTGAAACACATGGGGTCACCATGAGTTGAAATCGACTCAACAGCAACTGGTTTGGTTTTTTAGTGGCACAATACGTTTGAATGTTACACCAGGACATAGGGGTTACATCTGAGCCTAAGGAAGTTTTTGCCAGATTCTCCTGTCCTCCTGCTTTGCAGGGCCCCACTTATCCCTCATCCAACTATGCCCCTCCCCACAGGGCAAGGAGGCCACAGGGCTAAGGGAAGTGCCCCTTCAGAGTCCACATGTCCTCTTCTTGACTACCCTTCGTGTCCCAGGACTCTGGGGTTCCCTACCCACATAGCCTGGAGCCTCTCCAGGACCTGCGCAGACTCTTCTCGTCTGTACCCCCAAGGGTGGAGCACACCATTGTTGTACCCATCCCTAGCCAAGATGGGTAGTGGATAGATAGTTGTGTGGGGGGCACAGAGAGGAGGCTAGGATGTATTCAATGTGGCGTCTGCATGCAAGTATGGAGGTCCCTCCTAGTGCTGGATGCAGCTGGGGGTGGGAGGAGGCCGGGTAGACCAGGTCTGGGGGCCACGGGCCAGAGGTTGGTTTCTCTAAAGAGTCCTGAGAATTCTAATTTCCAGTAAGGCATTTCAGGTTGTTATGAAGGTATAATTGTCAAAGTAGCAGCATAGGATAGATTTTATTGAATAAGTTTGTCAACTCGATTTATAACTTTTAAATATTTATATTTATGATATATGGACTCTTGCTCCAGGCCTTGTAAATGTTAGGGATAAGCCTGTTAGTGCTAATACCTTCCCATAAAAACAAACACAAACAAACAAACCAAACCTGTTGCCATTGAGTCGATTCTGACTCAAGGCAACCCCATGTGTTACAGAGAACTGTGTTCCATTGGGTTTTCTTAGCTGTAATCTTTACAGAAGCAGATTGCTAGGCATTTCCTCCTTGGTGCCACTGGGTGGGTTTGAACCACCAACTTTTGGTTAGCAGTCAAGCACAAACTATTTGCGCTACCCAGGAATAATGCTTTCCCATAGCGAGGGCTAAGCTTCCACTCCTCAGAAAAAACTTACATCATAGTCTGGGCCTCCTGGAAGAATTCATCTTCTGACATGGAGCCTTCCTTGATCATCTTGACAGCAATGTCATACTTCTCCTTCCACTTGCCCAGCTGGACCACTCCAAACTGACCACTTCCCAGTTCCTTCAACAGGGTGATTTCTTCTCTCTTCAGTTCCCAGATTCCTAATAAGGCAAGGCAGATGCTCTTTAGGACAAGAACAGAGGGCTTTGGGGCTAACAGCCTCCCAAGGAATTTCCTTTCAATGAGAATTCCCCCAGACGATAAGCAGAGCAGCAAGGCTTTTTTTTTTTTTTTTTTTAAAGTTAATCAATTAAAAACACACAGACACACACACACAAAACAATCCTTGGTATGTGGTCTATGGCCTATAATACCACGATAACGCTTCCTCAGACAATACTGTTCTTGAAGCAGCTACAGTTATTGCCAAAAGGGCTCAGAGTAAAAACAGTCACAACCAGAGACATCTGGGAGAGACTTGGTGTGTGTCAAATGTGCTTGACCCCCTTACCAAACCAAATCCATTGCCATTGAGTCGATTCCGACTCATAGTGACCCTGTAGGACAGAGTAGAACTGCCCCATTGGGCTTCCAAGGCTGTAATCATTAAGGGAGCAGAATGCCACATCTTTCTCCAGAGTAGCGGCTGGTGGGTTCGAGCCAACAACCTCTGGGTTAATAGCTGAGCGCTTTAGCCACTGTGCTACCGGGGCTCCTTTGATGCCCTTAGAATGGTAAAATATTGTTACATTTTCCCGAACACATATGGTTAAAGACTGGCTCCTGAGCAGGCTGGGGCACTGAATCCAGGAAGAAGGATGAGCAGAGGGGCATTGGAGGTGATGATCAAGACCAATAAGAGGTAGAATTTGACAATATTTTTTGTAATGTTGGAGAGATTACAGATTTAGGTTAGGAAGAGGACAGGAACATTTTTTTTTAAAGAAAGTAAACAAATATATTAGAGCTGAAGCCCATCCTGACACAATCCAAACAGAAACCTCCTTCCTGTCTTCTCCCTTTTTCAGTAAATTGACCACATTGTTTTTAACCTAAAAAAAAAAAAAAAAAAGGTGAGAAATGGAGTTTAAGAGCCCAAGGGTATGTCCATACCACTTCCCAAGGATGCGGAGACGGGGACCTTGTTGGCCTTGGTCGACACAGGATGGCGAAGACGGGTGATCATGCCTACGATGGAATCAGCATCATCTCATTACACCCCATCCCATCCCATCCCACCCTATCCCATCCCATCCCATCCCATCCCACCCTATCCTGTCCCATCCC